AGTGAAAGAAGCATGAATGGACAGAGGGGAAAGCTGGACTGCAAAGCAGTTACTACAGGAACCCAGCTGATCAAACAGGGAGCCAACGAGCGGAGACGCCCTTCAGAACTGCTCTAATTAAAGCAGTTTTGCTGCTTACAGAAGCGGACGCAGGGCAACATTTGTGCAATTGTGGCGGAAGGAAGTGCTACCTGCACAGCTAAGCAATCTTTTGTTTTTCCCTGAATTAGACTTTATGAAATAATGGCAGAAAGAAGACAGAGTATTTGTCTTAGTCTATTCAGGCTGCAATAACAAAATACCATGGATTGGGAAGCTTATAAACGGACATTTATTTTTCATAGTTCTTAAGGCTGGGAATTCCAACATTATGATACCAGGTGATTCATATCTGATGAGAAACTTGACTGTCTTCTCACTGTAACCTCACCAGGCAGAAGGGACAAGTGAGTGCTGAAGGGACAAGTGAGATCGCAAGGGCCGCTTTGATAAAGGCGCTCATCTTACTCATCAGCTCCCAAAGTCCCCACTGCCCAATATCACTACCTTGGGAGTTAGGATTTCCACATATGGATTTCAGGGGGACACAAACATTAGTCCATAGCAGTATACTTCTTTACCATAATTTGATTGAGTAAAAAAGGTGGAATATGGTGAAGTTGGAAAGGTGTGAGAGATTTGTAGACAAAACCCTGTGAAGAACGTTGCTGGTAACTGACCAATTTTGAACATGTTGATTAATTTTCCTTTTTAAAATAAATTTTGCATATTAAGAAGTATTATCGTCCCCACATTAAGAAATTGAGGCTCAGAGATTAAGTGAATGTTTTTCTAGCTCCTACAGTTAGGAGAAGAGCCTATTATTCCAAGTCTCACCCTTTTGGACCAGCATCATCTGTATTTTTATACTAAATAATGTGCTAAATTTTAGTAGTGAACTAAAGCATTAAGTATCAAATATTAAATCTTTACTTTTCCCCTTATGCTCAGGCTCCCTGGGGCAGGAGCAACATGAGGTGGTTCATCATCAGTTGAGCTCTATTATCAGAAACAGAAATCTCAACCTCCCATGTGAAAATACATGTGCACAGAGATAGTTCCTGTCTCAAATAGAATCTCATAAGACTAGTTGATAATAGCGAGGAAAGAGACATCAAATGCATACTTTCGAGAGTGTGCCTAACACACACACTCCTTCAATATCATTTTCAAAGGCCTTAGCATCAATATTTACCTTTTAAAACAAACATCTTTAGTAACAGATTGTGCTGTCCCAAGCATCTTTACCTAGAGATGGATCTGATATTTTAAAAACAAAATTTAGATGTTAGAAGATACATCCAAATTAATATAAGGAAGTTTTTAAAAAAAAAGTATAAGTGAAAAATATTCTGATGCATATTTTCAAAATAGTCTATGTTGCATAAGAATTGATCTATTAAAAATACCATAAATTTGGAGTATAAGTTATTTTAATAATTATATCCCATTTAGACATGTGTGGATTGGTATGATCAAAACCAATAATCTTATTTTTGTTACACGTTTCTCCTTTTTTACCCCATTGACACCCTCCTCCCCATCCCCCCCACCCCATCCCTGGCTTTGTTGCCCACGTCCATTGGTTATGCATACATGCATATAAGTTCTGTGGTTTATCTCTTCCCTCCCACCACCACCCCCACTTCTGAGGGTTGTCACTCTGTACCCTACTTCCACGTCTCTGTGTCTACCCTATTCCTCAGACTGTTATGTTCATTATATTCCACAAATAAGTGAGATTATGTGGTATTTGTATTTTTCTGCTTGGCTTGTTTCACTTAGGATAATACTTTCCAGGTCCCTCCATGTCATCTCAAAGGATGAGATCTTTCTTATAGCTGCATAGTACTCCATTGTGTATATGTACCACTGCTTTTTTATCCATTTGTCTACTGATGGACATTTGGGCTGTTTCCAGATCTTAGTTGTTGTAAATAGTGCTGCTACAAACATGGGGGTACATATATTCTTTTTGATTGGTGTTTCAGGCTTCTTAGGGTATATGCCTAGAACTAGGATCACTGGGTCAAATGGAAGATCAATTTTTAATTTTTTGAGGTAACACCATATTGTTTTCCATAGTGGCTGCACCAGTCTGCATTCCCACCAGCAGTGTATTAGAGTCCCCTTTTCTCCACACCCTGGCCAACACTTGTTATTTGATGATTTGTAGATGGCGGCCATTCTGACAGGTGTGAGGTGATACCTCATTGTTGTTTTAATCTGCATCTCTCTGATGATTAGTGATGTTGAGCTTTTCTTCATATGTCTCTTGGACATTTGTATGTCCTGTTTGGAGAGGTTTCTATTCAGCTCCTCTACCCATTTTTTAATTGGGTTCTTTGTCTTCCTTTTGTTGAGCTGTATGAGCACTCTATATATATTGGAAATTAACCCCTTACCTGATGTATCATTGGCAATTATGCTCTCCCATACAGTGGGTTGCCTTTCCATTTTGATGGTTGTTTCTTTTGCTGTGCAGAAGCTTTTTAGTTTGATGTAGTCCCATGTGTTTTTTCCTTTGTTTCTGTTGCCTTAGGTGATGTATCAGTGAAAATTCTGCTGTGTATGACGTCTGAAATTTTGTATCCTATATTTTCTTCTAGAATTTTTATGGATTCACTGGTCACATTTAAGTCTTTTATCCATTTTGAGTTTATTCTTGTGTATGGTGTAAGTTGATGGTCTAGTTTTATTTTTTTTGCATGTAGCTGTCCAATTTTCCCAACACCATTTATTAAAGAGGCTGTCTTTACATTGTATGCTCTTGCCTCCTGTGTCAAATATTAATTGAGCATAATGTCTTGGGTCCATTTCTGGGTTCTCTGTTCTGTTCCACTTGTCTATATGCCTGTTCTTGTGCCAGTACCAGGCTGTTTTGATTACAGTAGCTTTGTAGTAAAACCTGATATCTGGTATTGTGATCCCACCTACTTTGTCCTTCTTTTTCAAGATTGCTGTGGCTATTTGGGGTCTTTTTTGATTCCATATGAACTTTTGAAGTATTTGTTCTAGTTCTGTGAAATATGTCGTTGGTTTTTTGATGGGGATTGCATTGAATCTATGGATTGCTTTGGGTTATATGGAGATTTTAATGATGTTAATTCTTCCAATAACCTATTTTTTAACATCTTGGGTTATGTGGCAATAGTTCACACTCCAGTATTTTCAGGTCCTTATTGCTTTAGCTTAACTGTCTGCTTGGGGTTGGCAATAATATGGCTTCATTTTGCTCGTCCACTGAGCACTTTCATTTACGCAAAGAAGACACTCTTACCTGAGTTGTACATGGTTCCACTTCCAGGCCTTTCTAACTAATGATCTTGGGGATGGAGGCCAGGGAACCTTGGTTTTTTGAATGACCAGGGACTAGGCTAAGGGGAATGAGGCACTTGCTTACCTTGGGTTAAATGTACACTCCAGTTTGAGAACCAGTCTTTGGTTAATTTGCAGAAAACCAAGCCAACAGTAAAATTAATATTTACTCTGGATGAAAATACTTGTATCATAAGAACTAATCAGCTTGTCTTCATTTCCATATCCTTTAGGTTCTGCCTAATTCTGAAAATGACATTCTGAAATGACAAAGGTGGCAATCCACTTCAATACCTGTAGAAAACATATAAAACTTAAGACTTTAAAAAATCATGGGTGAGGGGGAGGTGGAATCATTTTTGGCACTTCAAAGTCAAGTCTTCATTGACCTCATTCCTTTTCTTAAGCTTAATTGAATACTTTTAGATTCTTACACATCTGTTGATTGGCTTCAAAAAGGATTTCTCCTAGCAAAATCTCAGATAACATACACTTTTGGACTTCTCTCTGCATAGAAATGCTAAAGTCATGACTACCATTCTTGTATTGGTTGGGGCAATGTTGGTGCAAATATTCAATGCCTCAATGATGGCTTTGTCTTAAATTATTTTATTTTAATAAGATTTGACTCCAAATATAGACATGGGATTGATATTGCTGTGCCTGTGGGTATGTGGTATATGTACTTTTGAATGGAGGCAGGTATATGCAGTAGCACACGTGATTTCTCTTTTTTTAATTTTTTTTATCCTCACCCGAGGACATTTTTCCAATTTTTGTACAGATAGAGTGGGAGGGAGAGAGAGGGAGAGAGAGAGAGAGAAACATCGACGTGAAAGGGACACATCGAGTGGCTGCCTCCTGCACAACCGACCAGGGCTGGGGACAAACTGCAACCAAGGTGCACACGTGATTTCTCATTGTGGAGATTCAACCCTCCAAACCTGCAGGGACTGAGTAACTTGCATGAAGCCTGACTCTCCTACCTGGAATCTCTATCATTCCAAATTATTACAAAGGTCTCACATGTGCATGGATGTGGAGTGTGGTTCACTTGTAGACAGTGTACAACCCCAAGAATTCAGATCCCTTCAGACTGGTTAATCAGAAACACAGAGGAGCACCCAACATACGGACTTCACAACTGTAGGACAGAGGTTCTTCATCAGGAGCGTGCATCACCACCACGTGGCATGAGATTCCACTGTTTTAAGATTCAGGTTCAGGGTTTATTAACCTAAACTGAGAAGGGCCTAGAAGTACACACTTTTAATAACTCCACAGATGGTTCTGATTCAGATATTACTATAGGACCAAAGTCCATTTTATTCCTGAGCATAGTTTGGGCTTCTGGTTTTGTTAAGACTTAAATTTATTATGTCCAAAGGCTAAAATTCTGAAGGTTTAATGCTCTATTCACCTCAGTCTTCTAATAATATATACGAATGACAACTCAGAATCCAAAATCCACCGTCGTTAGCACAGAACATTGAAGTTATTCCAATTCCTTGTATATAAACCCACATGTGAGCACAGCAGCAGGCTACCATCAAGTCTGAAGTTATGGGCAGATCTCTCTCTAACAGTACATGGTGTTAAATATGTGAACTTCTTCCCACCAATAAGAGAAATTAAACATTTTATATTTGAAATTTTAAGGTCAATTTATTAAGTTCATTGATGAAAGCTTTCAGAAGAATATTCTCCTGAAAATTATTTCTTCTTAGAAAAAAAAAAAGAAAAAAATCAACACCCTCTCAGCATAGCCACAGATGCTGTGGCAGTCAAGCCTCTCTGCAGACGGGGATGGTCCGTCAATCGGTCAAGTCACTCTCTGGGTCAGCAGGATTGTAGTCTGGATCATCCTCCTCATCTTCCAGCTCCAAGTCATCCATTTCCTGGAACAAAGACTCATCTACCTCCACATTGTTTCCAGCTGCAAAAGACAAAAGATTTCACTTTCGGTCTTATATCTGGGAATAAAAGACACAAACAGAAACTTCTCCACTTGCGTGGGAGGTAATGAAATCTTAAACCGCTTCTGCAAATCATACCAACCATGGTCTATAATGGTCAGCAGAGACTCTGTCTGACAGAGGTAGTGACAGTTTCAAAGTAGACAACCTCTGAAATATCTTCATGATAAATCTGAATTCACCAAGAAGAAAAGAGGCCAGAATGAAGCAATTCTAGGCAGAAGTATATGTAAAGGCAGAGAGAAAAACTAAGACACTGAGTACGTCTATCTAGAACCTAAGATTCTTGAGGAAAAAAATATGTGGAGAAAACATAGATAAAGAGAGACAAACTGAAGGATTGCTAGGTCAGCCTTCACCTCGAAGCAGCAGAGAACCAAAGGGCTTTAAGGAGAAAAGTGCCGTGCTGTTTTAGAAATGCTGCCTCAGAAGTGGTGGCAATACGACAGGTAGGTCGCCAGAATGAGGAAGAGGCTGATACAGGGAAATAATTTAAGAAGCTACCACAAAAGTCCAGGTGAAAAATGATAAAACTTTCAGTATCAGGAGGAAAGAACCGAGAAGACATTTTAGTGGCAGAATAAACAATCTTTGGTAAGTTATTGGATATGAGGAGATATTTGATCCATTAGACAGAGAAGTTAAGAATGAATGGAGACAGTCAAACAATAAAACTTCTAAAGTGCAAAGGAGAAAGAGACAAAGCTTTTCGGATCTATAATTTCTCAACAAAATAGAAGGTAAAATGAGTCCTTAAAGTGAGAAAGGGACAGATGAGGACATCCTCGCTGGTTGTTTGTTTTGAGACTATAAAAATCTTGAAGCAAGAATATAATAAAATATATTTTAAAATGTGAAAATGTCAGGAAGGGCACAGAGCTCAGACTGAGAAGCATGGCTTAACAGTGAGCCGCATCAGCATTCCCTCTTAGCCTCTGCAGATAATCCAGGAACAAGGTTAAAAGGCCAGATGCCAGCTGGCAAGATGGGCATGACAGAAGGTTAACAAAGCGCAGAACTCCATCTAAGGTGCAATCAGAGGTGTGGAAATATGGAGCACAGTTCAAGAAGCATGCGTAGGCCATAAGCTCCATGAAGGCAAGGAATTTTTCTATGCTGTTTTCAGCTGTATCCTCAGCAGCCAGGATGGCACTTGGCTCACAGCTGGGGTACAACAAATACTTGTAAATGAACGGATAATGGACAGACAGAAGACTGAAAGAGAGTAAGAATTAGGATAAAAAAGAGAAGGAAAGCGTAAGGAACTAGATGCTCTGACGGTAAGATGGTATGAAATACAAGATTTTTGGTTAGAGGGCAAGAGGAGTTCCAGATCTGAGGTGTTTATAAAGCTCTATGACAGACCATGGAATACAGTTTCCATACATTTATGATGCTAGAAATTTGAGGAAAACAAGTCACCTAAGTCATAGTGACCTGTTTTATAAGTTAGAGGCTAATATATCATAATTGTTTATCTATTGCTATCTTTGATTTTGCTTAAGTTATCAGAAAACTTTAAAGAATATATTTCTATAGCTTAATGTATAAATTTATCAAATATTAGAATTTATTCTTCAAAATGTATTTCTTTACACCCTTGGGAGGAAAGATTTATGTTTTCACTCTGATTTTCATAGTTTAATATTAAAAACAGTAAAATATGTACATGTGGAATTCTAACATTATCTTACCATCCTCCAAGAACCGGATATCAGATGTGTCAAGATTATGATCTGTTTCAAATAGCTGTTTCCCTAAAAGAAATAAACAGATTTAATTTGAATGGCATAAGAAGTACAAATTGGTTGTTAGACTAGGAACCTCAAAGAGAAAGGGGGGAGGTGGGAAGAGACAGACCAAAGAACTTCTATGCATATATACATAACCAATGGACACCAACAATAGTGTGAGGAAGGCAGGAGGGGGGCAGTATTGGGGAGGAGGGGGTCAATGGGGGAAAAAAGAAGGGACATCTGTAATACATTCAACAATAAAGATAAGTTTTAAAAAATAATCTGAATGGCATAATTTTCCTCCATCTTCTGTAACCCTTTAAAAAGTGTAATAACCCGCCCTGGCCTGTTTGGCTCAGCGGTTAGAGCGTCAACCTGCGGTCCTGAGAGACCCGGGTTCGGTTCCCGCTAAGGGCATGTACCTCGGTTGCAGTTTTTCCCCGGCCCTGGTCGGTCGTGCGGGTGGCAGCCACTCGATGTGTCCCTTTCACGTCGATGTTTCTCTCTCTCTCTCTCTGTTCCTCTCTCTCCCTCCCACTCTACCTGAACAAAAAAATGGGAAAATGTCCTCGTGTGAGGATTAAAAAAAAAAAAAAGTGTAAAAACCCAAGGAAAAAAGTCTGAAAATCTGTTTTTCTGTGAATTTCAATAAATTATGTATTTAGCTAAGAGGCATATAAAATGTATTTGCATTAAAATGAAACAACGAACAACCTTGTCTCCCTCAGAGTCCTAGAAAAACAAATGGGTTTGACTATCACTTCTAAGGCTTATAATTCTGAAAGTCACAGTAGCCATATCTCAAGATCTATCCACTATAATATTTAGATCAAAGATAATCCATAAATATTAATTATAATTATGTGTGAAGATATATTATCATGTAGAGAGAATGCTTTTTCTTTTTGTTCCCTAGATGCCTAGGTATATTTTCTTATAGCCCTGGTCAGGTGGCTCAGTTGATTGGAGTGTCATCCAGCCCACCGAAAGGTTTTGGGTTCAGTTCCCAGTCAGGGCACACACCTAGGTCGTGGGTTCAATTCCCAGTTTGGATGCCTGCAAGAGGCAACCGATCAATGTTTCTCTCTTATATCAATGTTTCTCACTCTCTCTCCCTTCATCTCTAAAACCAGTAAACATATCCTCAGGTGAGGATAAAAATAAAATTTCATACAGAAATCTGTCCAAATGACCCTTTTGCTATATCAGAAGTAATATAGAAATGTATGGGGGGAACAGAAATAAGGGCAAGTCATACCACTTAATTTATTTTTTCCTGCTTGTTCTTCTTCTTTCATTCGTTTCTTTTTAATTTCCAAAAGTTCTGCATCAAACTTGGCTTTCCAACTTAAGAAATTCTCAATTGTAACAGGAGTGCCATGAAATAATTGCTTATAAAATAAAAAAAAGAGATGTCACCAGATAAGTGAGACAACAGTTTAAAAAATAAGACCTAATGATCTTTTATACAAATGAATATAGCCACTTATAGGATAAACAAAGAAAAACAGTTTCAAGTTTTGGAGTATTTAATCTGATATCTGCCTGCACTGGCTACTCTCGTTGGTTTTGGTGATTTATTCTGAAAAAGTCCATTTATAATTTTTATTACAAAAAAATTAATAAATAAAGATTATATGCAATGTTCACTGTTCAGAAGAAAGTTGTTGCAGCCAGCAGTAATGTTTTGAATACACATTAATTTAGAACACTAGCATCATAGCTTACCCTTTTATTTCATTTCAAAGTTTGAGGTTTTCTTTATTTTAGTAAACACAGTCATGTGCTGCATAATGATGATTCAGTCAATGATGGACCACCTATATGACAGTGGTCCTGTAAGATAATGGAGTAGAAAAATTCCTCTCACCTAGTGACACTGAAGCTGTCCAAATGTCATAGGGCAATGCATTCATTACGTGTTTGTGGAGATGCTGATGTAAACAACCTTACTGTGCTATTAGTTGTATAAAAATACAGCACATACAATTATATACAGTATACACTACTTGAAAATTATAATAAATAACTGCTACTGGTTTATGTATTTACTATACTATACCTTTTATCGGTATTTTAGAACGTACTCTACTTGTATAAAAAGTTTGCTGTAAACAGTATGCCATGTTATGCCAGCGGCAGCCTCATACATCTTGTGTTTACCAAGTCTCTTGATTGCATCATTTTCTTGTGCTTGACTTAATCTTCTGCTGTTTTATAAATTTAGTGTAGCCTACATGTGCAGTGTTTATAAAGTCTGCAGTAGTGCACGGTAATGTCCTAGGTCTTTACATTCACTTGCCACTCACTCAAGGACTCACCCAGAGCAACTTCTAGTCCTGCAAGCTCCATTAATGATGAGTGCCCTCTACTGGTATACCATTCTTTAACTTTACACCACATTTTTGCCTTTTCTAGGTTTAGATACACAAATTCTTACCAATTATATATAGAAATTATGTTTTAACTGCCTACAGTATTCAGTCCAGTGACATGCTGTACAGGCTTGTAGCCTAGGAGCAATAGGCTGTACCATATGGCCTAGGTGTATAGTCAGCTATGCCATCTAGGTTTGTGTAACTGCACCCTATGATGTTTGCACAATGAAGAAATCACCTAACAGTGCATTTCTCAAAATGTATATCCATGTTAAGCAGTGCATGATCGCATTTAAATCACTCTGGTGGAGGCATTATTAATTCTAAACTCTATACCGTAAGTGAAATAATTTATATTTTTTTATATTACCTTCATGAGCTTTACTAAACTTTACTGACTATTAATCATTACTCAGATTTCCACAAAGACAAAAACCCCAAACAACTCAAAAACAGCAACAGATTTAGAGAATAGTGAAAGAAAACATGGCTTTTAGTATACCTTTTCGGCTTCTTCTGCTTCTTTTTCTTTCTGTTTCTTTTCTTCTTCTCTTCTAGTTTTTATTTGATCCACTATTTCATTTAGTTTTTCTTGCACGGCTGTCACTAAAGTAAAGATCATCACCATACCAAGGTTTTCTTCTGCCTATGTAACAACAACAACAAAAAAGCAACCAAAAACCAACTAACCAATAAGAAAGCTTTTCAGCATAATAACTAAATTCCATACATTCATAATATGATTACTAATTCAGTTACACATCAGTTCAGACACTTGGATAAATGACTTACGCACTGAATATAAAAAATAGACAGATAGATATAGACAAATAGAGAGATAGATTGATTTTAAATTTAAAGTCATGTAATCTGCTATATCCAACCTAAAACAGACATTTCAGTAAATTCTGTTAAATAAACATAAATGTAGGCAGGCTTCAGAAAGCCTTTCCTACAGTAGCTAGTAGCATCAGTTCTCAATATTTTAAGAGCTGTGACAATGAACTGAACTTTGAGGCCAGAGCGATTTTCTAACATAATTCTATAATAAAGCTTGCAGGTAGTTCTGTGATTCATCTTTATCTACCTTTTCTTTTTTCAAATGGTTCAGAACCAAATATAAAAGCATCTCAGACTCATGAAAGGGCTATAATTCAAAAGCTACTTGGAAGTTGGTCATTTGAAGGCAGAATAAAATAAAACATGATATCTTATTTATCCACAAAAATAAGATAGGAAACCTCTTATTCCTATAGATAAACAATACAAAAAATAAATAAAACCCCTCAATTTACAAGCCAGAATCTCCGTCCTGGAAGTTGAAGGGATTTCCAAGCACTCCTTTGACAGGACTGGCCTCAGAAACATTTCAATAGGTGTTTCATCATCTGGGCCCTCCATCAACACTAGGAGCTCCTATAATCCTCTGCAACAAAGCTTCTCTATGTGTTTCCATGCTGAACATCCTTAACTTGACTCTAAACCAGGGGTGGGGATCCTTTTTTCTGCCAAGGGCCATTTGGATATTTATAACATCCTTCACAGGCCATACAAAATTATCAACTTAAAAATTAGCCTGCTAGCTCAGTCGGGGTGGCTCAGCGGTTGAGTGTTGACCCATGCATCAAGAGGTCGCCGATTCGATTCCCCATCAGGGCACATGCCCAGGATGTGGGCCAAATCCCCAGTGGGGGGGCAATCAGGGGGCAGCCAATCGATGTTCTCTCTCATTGCTGTTTCTATTTCTCTCTCCCTCTCCCTTCCTCTCTCTCTAAAACCAATAAAGAAAAAAAAATAATTAGCCTTCTATATTTGGTCAAACATTTAATTAACTCACCCCTAATGTGATGGCTGGAACTGCTTCTCTTTGGTGAGGTGTGTGATGTTAGTTGATATTGATTTCGAGGGCCTTGCACGGCCTGCAGGCCGGACAGTCCCCACTCCTGCATATAAAGCTCTCTTCTGAGTGCCAAACCCATATGAAAACTGACCACTGGACAGTGACTTGGATGTCCCACAGGCATCTCAACACTGAAACCATCATCTTCTCCACAAAACCTATTTCTAAGTTCTCCATCTCAGAGAATCACACTATCTTCCCAACCTGAATATTCCCATCCCATCCTAAGCTCTATCACCATCTCTTACTTATTCGTATATACCATTTAAATTTGCCTACTGTTCTCTATCAACACTATCATCAGACACCATCATCTTTAGCTTGGAATACCACAAGAAATTCCTAAATGGTTTTCTTAAAACCTGACATTAACTTCTCTGACCATTTAATACACACAACAACTGATTTAGTCAGTCTCTAGCTTAAAAACTTCTCAAACCAAACCAATCAATAGCAAGGGTGCCCTGGACGGTTTGGCTCAGCAGTTAGTGTGTCAGCCTGTGGACCAAAGAGTCTTGGGTTTGATTCCGCCAAGGGCATGTACTTTGGCTGCAGTTCGTCCTCGGCCCCGGTTGCGGTCGTGCAGGTGGCAACAAGTCAATGTGTCTCTTTCACATCGATGTTTCTCTCTCTCTCTCTCCCTCCTACTCTGTGTGAAGATAAATGTAAAAATATCCTTGGGTGAGGATTTAAAAAAAAGCAAGGGCATACATACTTTTTAAACAGTTTAGAAGACCCTCTAGGAATTAACCTCTTTAAATCATACATATAACCACAAACTTCAAAGTCTAAGCTCAAGTAATTTAGTATGACTGAGAGTTCTGGAAGGAAATAATATGATCTCTTTCCTTTCTCTCACTTCCATGCCCCTTAAGCTCGCTCCTGTACACTGAAACTCTCCTACTCCCTCTATTGCCTGGCAAACTCTTCTTCAGGTCTCAGCTTCCTCTCGGAAGCTTCCGCAGCGCCTCAAAGCTATGTCCACTCATTCACTCCTGGGCCTCGCTCATGCGAGCATTTTTCACACAGAATCATAACTGGTTTGCCAGTCCGTACTGCTCGTCACATAAAATCTCTGAGGGGCAGAGGTGTTGATAGTGTCTGCCTCAGACATTTCACTTAACGCTAGGTACATTTCAAAAACAAATCCTGATAGGATCTCTTTTTAAAAAGTTAAGTATTCCAACAGAAAAGAAAAACAAAAAGAATCATTCATATGGAATTTGACAATTAGAAGTCATATGAAAAGACTTGCACATCACTAGTTATTAAAGAATTTCAAATTATGATTTTATATATTTTTTATCTTGTCATCATTTGTCTTTTTCTAAATAAAAAATTTCTAGGTTAGTAAATGTCAGCAGACACCTTCAATGGCTATAGTGAGATCATAACTTGGCACAACAATTTTGACAGTCAACTTGGTAGTGTGTATAAAATTAAGTACTCATACCCTTTAATCCAGAAACCTTACTTCTAGAAAAAATATTGGACTAGTATACTCATCAATAATTCATTCTTTCATTTAAATATATATATTTATTTGAGTGTCTACTATGTGCCAGGTTCTATGGCTTCAAAGACCCTGCTCTAAGGATTTGCAAATAGTGACATATAAAAATATGTAAAGATTTATATATTAAAGCAGGTGAAAATAAGAATTTTAAGTTGTTTAAAAAAAGATGTATAATTACACATACAGTGAAATTCTATGCTGTTATCAAAAGTAATGATTCATATGAATGCTTACTAAAATGGACTGATGCCATATATATTGTAATGTGAAAAAAAAAGGATGTTATAAAACATTATGTATAAAATGATCTAACTTGCCCTGGCCGGTTTTGCTCAGCGGTTAGAGCATCGGCCTGCGGTCCACAGAGACCCGGGTTCGGTTCCCGCTAAGGGCATGTACTGCGGTTGCAGTTTGTACCTGGCCCTGGTTGGGTCGTGTGGGAGGCAGCCACTCGATGTGTCCCTTTCACGTCGATGTTTCTCTCTCTCTTCCTCTCTTTCCCTCCCACTCTATCTAAACAAAAATTGGAAAAATGTCCCGGGTGAGTATAAAAATAAAAATAATAATAAATAAATAAAATAAAATGATCTAACTTGGGGTAGGAGGGAGATTACGAATATAAGCATAAAAAGAAATCTGGACTATATATCACACCAAAATGTTAATAGGCAGTTATACCTGGCTGGTGAGAGTAACAATAATTTATATTTTCTTTTTCATATTTTAATGTATGTTCTTGAGTATTTTGTTATATGAATTTATTATTTTGATAATTATACATTAATACAATTGTTTTTAAAGAAAAAGTATAAATATTCCCTCAATACATCTGATCTCAGTATTAAAAAGAAATTAAAACTATTTTTTTAAAGGAAGGAGTTGAGTATGAATAAAATATAAAATGTAAGAAAATAAATCACTTAGATCAAATAACTTACATTAATACATGACTGACTGACTATAGTACACTATCGCAGGTTCTGTGCCATGTTTTAAAATGAAGCATGTTATGCCAAATGGTACTAGAATCAGTTTAATTTCATACTGGGTAACAGAGAGAACAGGGCTCAGGATCAGCATAAATTCATGTTTGCTATATCTTCTTTCATTCTTCATTCACTAACAGCTCCAGATATTTTTAAAATATCAGCATTAAGAAGACCAACAGTCCTTGAAATATACAAGTCAGGTTTAAGGTGGAGACATGTTTTCTGTAAATTCTTCTTAGAACAAACAAAACTAGGACTTCTGATTTTACGATGGTAAAGATTTTGCTTGTCCTCCCTACTCCCTACTCTGAAGAACACATGAAAACTCTACCTAGTCAAGAGATAGCTTTAAATACCTGCCAAGCTCAGAGTGTAGATAGCCCATCCCACCACAGAACTAGCCAAATAACAACTTTCCAACACTCATTGTTTCTTCCACATAACCTACCCACTTAGAGGAGTCAAACCCTTGTTGCTGTTTGTAAGCACAGGGAGAAGGAGACGTAAGAAAAATAATAATAAATCACCAGTCCTCTTCCCAGATTGTAGGCAACTATTACTGCAACAGGTCAGAGGGGTTGGAAATTTCAATTCTTTTCAGTTGGAATTTGTAACTGCACATGGGACAGGATATTCTGAGAACCCAATTGAAGCTGTGTTTAATATCTATCAGACTATTTATTTTTAATTTTTTTTTCTTTAGTGATTTTAGAGAGAGAGGAAGGTAGAGGGAGAGAAAGAAACATCGATGAGAGAGAACATGGACTGGCCACCTCCTACATGCCCCACACTGGGGATTTGGCCCACAACCTGGGCATGTGCCCTGACCGGGAATCAAACTGATGACCTCTTGGTGCATGGGTCAACACTCAACCACTGAGCCACACCGGTCAGGCCCTATCAGACTTTTATACCTAAAAGTCATGGGGCTGACTCAAACAGGGGTACATGGACAAATTCTCTTACCCAAAGTTTAAAGATAAGAGTGAGAAACAAACATGTATATAATGAATTTTGCTTTTTTTTTTTTACTCTTGCAATTGATGCATAATAGTTAAGGTAAAAAATAAACAAATAGCACCATTACAAAACCTGTTATTCCTTACCTGTAATGCTAATAATTTTAAAATGTTTGAGACATCATTATCTTCTAGATTTTCCTGGGAGAATATTTCATAAAGGGGGGCTTCATCTGGGTACTTCTCACTATATGTAAACTTGAGGGTAGTCTGGACAGCTAAAGACATAAGATAAGAGTTTGCTATGAATACATTAAAATGTAAAGTAAAGAGAAGTCAACATCTTTGTTGAATCAGTAATTAATTTACAATGCGTCAGTGAAAAGCATCACAACAGATTTTCCTGCAAAGAAAAACAAGATTAAAGAAAAGCAAGAGTTACACTCTTCTGAAAACCCTCCTTAAGATGAACAAAAGGCACGAAAAATAACACATAAAAAAGTGTTTTAGGCTCAGTTTCCAGTACAGAAAAATGTGGCTTTAGCACAGTGCCAGCAGGGGATTGCTAAGGGTTGCTAGATGACACGTTTTGGAGTAGACAGTCTGAGAGGTCGTATGAGAAACTTCATCTGACTCATCTATTTTTCTTACTCACTCCTTTGGCCTGTGCCAACTCACAGATCTCACTTGTATAGGAGTGAGATTTTTACAGGCACATCAGTGCAAGGTATTTATCTCTTTGTAGCTCAGCCTGGTGAATTCTCGGTTCCATCAAGCAATTTGCAACTAAACAGATATTACTAAATATTTTCTATCAAATCTTATTAACCACAATAATCCTTTGTCTAGAGTTTTCCTTTCTTGTGACTCACTTTTTAATTATCAAAACCTGATTGTGATGATTTTAGCTCAAATCGAAATTACTCTCCATGGGAGGGAATAAAAACCTTAAAATTTTAGGTTTGTTTTAATTTGTTTACTTTGGTTTAATTTTTGTGTATGATGTCAAGAAAGAATGTTATGAATCAATGGATATAACAAACTTAAACAATGTTTTCACATTTTTCATTCTTTTTTATTAACCTTTCTAATTTTATTGTTAAAAACGTTTTTTAAAAACAGTTATTGATTCTACTATGTGATGTAATAAACATTCATTATAAAAAATTTAGGAATACACTAAGGTAAAAATAAAATCAATAACAATCCCATGATCAGTAAAAGATCACTGTTACCATTTTGGTATATTTAAAGTATCATAAAAATATTTTTAAAAGGATACTTTAAAGTACCTTTCTATGTGTATATTTATGTTTTGTTTTGTTTTTTCTATCCTCACCCGAGGACATTTTTTGATATTTTGTTCAGATAGAATAGGGGGGAGAGAGAGAGAGAGAAACATCGATGTGAAAGGGACACATCGAGTGACTGCCACCCGCACAGCCCAACTGGGGCCGGGGACAAACTGCAACCAAGCTACGTGCCCTTGGCGGGAACCGAACCCGGGTCTACTCTGGACCACAGGCCGACGCTCTAACTGCTGAGTCAAACCAGCCAGGGATGTATATTTATGTTTTAAGCAACACATAAAAATGGTTCATATTATATTTCAGATTTTATACATATAAACATATTACCTATATATATAAATATACTATATGTAAATAATGTATCCAACATCCTTTTAATTCAGATTTCAGTATTATCTCTATGCTAACCTCATTTTCAATTATATAAAACAGATTTAGAGTTATTAAGTAGTAACACTAAAATTGGTGTTACATGGCTAAATTTTCGTTGACCCCTTTAAGAGGAAAAGATATCCTTGGGGTTAACATCAACTTACATTACATTTTTATCAAATTACATATCAGTTCTTACTGATTTTTAGAGCAAGAGAGAGGAAGTTAGGGAGAGAGGAAGGGAGGAAGGGAGATGGAGACAGGAGGAGAGAAAGAGAAAGTGAGAGAGACAGACATCAGTTTGTTGTTCAATTTATTTACGCATTCATTGGTTGCTTCTTTTATGTGCCCTGATCACAAATCAAACCTGCAACCTTAACGTTTCAGGACGATACTCTAACCAACTGAGCATCTGGTCAGGACTCATATTACAATATTAACTGAACTTGACTAAAGGTAGAAATGAACTTCAGATATTCCCCTCTCCCCTAACATCAGCCAAGTTTATTATTTATTTATTTATTTATTTATTTTTGGTATGTGCCCTTAGCAGGAACCGAACCCGGGACTCTCTGGTCCGCAGGCTGACGCTCCAACTGCTGAGCCAAACCAGCCAGGGCCAGCCAAGTTTAAATTAATTAATTTAATTTTAATTTATTAGTTTTATAACAGCCTTATTTCAATTTGTATATCTTATTTATAGTTGTATAATAGTGGCTTTACCTGATTTTATTTATTTATTTATTTATTTATTTATTTAAATAACAGTCCAAAGATGAAAAAGGATCATGGAAAAATAATAGTCACTAAATGAAATACCACACAACCACTGCAATATGTATGCATACAAAGTCTTGTTTTGGCCAAAAAAATCTCTTGCCTTTTCTCTATCTGCTGTATTGTTAATTCTCTGTTTCGCTTTTAAAAACTAAGCTTATTGTGCATTAATATATCTCACTGACTTTTTATTTCTCTAGAAGTCATGTTTGCATCATATACCAACTAGAAACACAAAACACTCACACTAGATTCTTAACAGCACCTTAGCACCTATACACCTGCAATGCCCAACACAGAATGGCTGTAGAATGAGTAAAATTCTTGAGAGACAGGCTTAAAGAAACCACAAATATTTTTTATTAGACTTACTTTCATCATTCTCTCCAGCATCAGATGTCACAGTAATGGTGAAGCTGGGAGGATTTTCTGATAATACTGCAAGAAAATATACAAGAGGGTTAAGTTATTAAGTTGCTTTCCTCATTAGCCAAATATCACTACCCAGTCCATGAAACTGACCCCTAGACCTGAATTTCCATTTCCGCAAATACAGACTAAAAAGAATATTCAAATGATAAAACACATCCATCAATTTTCTATTTCAATCTGGGTTGTCTTTAACCTGGAAAGAAATACCTATAGTAGATACCTTTCTGGAGTTTTATCAAATCAATTAAAATAATTAAGTAATTTACCTTTCATTCAAAATTTCCACCTATATATGGAAAATTACATTCTAAAAAAATTCCCAAATGAATGACAAAAACGCTTGATGTTTTTCATTAGAAACTACCCACTGATAAATATTCAGTATTATCACTAATTTTTACACTCATCTGTTCTAAAAAACTATTCAGAATCTCCATGACAAACAATAACTATTAATTTGTTAGAGTTTTTATCTTGTGGCTCGCTCTCCCACAGCATCTCTAGAACCTAACTTTATTCTTCTTACAAATTACTGAGCCTCTACAATCTTTCATGGAATAAAATTGGCCATAAAACCAAATATCAAATTGCTTACAATTAATTTGTTAATAAGCAAGACAAGTCACCTGAAACCTATATAATTTTATTTACCAATGTCATCCCAATATATTCAATTTTTAAAAATTTAAAAAATGACAAGACACATAAATCAACATTTAAACAAATAAGAAAGCTTTATATACCACTTTTACCCTGATGTCTATCTGATATTATATATCTGTTTATTATTTATTCCCCCATAAGAATACTATAAAAACTCTATCTCCTAGATCAGTGGTACCATCTAGACACTCAATACATTTGGCTCAAAGAGCTGATTTAATGAAATAAGAAAGACAAAAACAAATAAAACTTGCATTCAGTACCATCAGAAGAATAAACAAGGTAAGTGTAAGCCACCCATGATAGCTGCTGAGTCCACGGGAAAAGCCTGCGCCTCACTCCAGGCCTGGAAAGCACTGGCCCCTGTCAAGGATTGTATCAGGCCAGCAGCCTCTTTCTGAAATAAAAGAGCCTGGAGATCTCTGAAGAAATCACTACGGAAACTCAGCTTTTCCTGCTCCGGAACTTCTGAGTCCTTCATAAATATTCATTATCAATAAAAGTTTGAAGACATATGCCTGCATTGTAATTGAAGTTTAAAAGTACTTAAAAAAAATGATGAACATCTATGATTACTTGAAAGATGTTTGTCAGAAACATAAAAGACTAACTGGACTCATATTTTAATAGGCCTCAGGTAGGCCAGCTGATGCTGAAAAAGTCCCTGAAAGGAAATTACAATAAAATTTTTATGACTGGCTCTATCTTTTATAAAAAAAACAAATATGTGTAAAATATATTTGATATACTTCATTCCTATTTCTTTTCATGAGCAACTTTAGCATTTACATGTTATGAAATGTAAATATTGCAACTACAGAAATAAGAGTTTAACCCAATGACATTCTGACTTTCTACTATTTTCTAGGGCTTCATCAGGTGGTAAGTTAGGGATCGCCTATAGCCAATAACAACAGCTAACGTTTATTGAGCATTACTTTGTGCCTGTGCTGTGTTACTCATTTACATAAAGATCTGTTAAATCTCACACCAAGACCATGACTTTACACTGTTACCCTATTTCACAAAGCTTAAAAGGCCAAGTATGAAATGCACCCTACCTTATATACCTCTAAGAAAAAAAAAGAGCCACAATTAAAATATGATATATAATTGACTAAGATAAATTCATTATTTCAGAGATGCTAAAATGTCAAAATATATCTTAGAATCAGTTAAATATAGTATTATCCCAATTTTACAGGTGTGGAAACAGATAAAAAGAGCTTTCACAATGCTATACAGGTAGTAACTGGCAGAACTGAAACCTATAGTTTCATAAAAAAAAAAGTTTTTTCCAGCTGAGAAATTCCAGGGATACCATTTGAGCTGGGCTGCATTAAGGCACATTGGTAAGTAGAGATGGAGAAAAGGAATGTAGGAAAGTAACACAGCAGAAAAGGGTATAATGGTGGAAGCTTAATGAATAAAAAGGGAATAAGAAATTATTCCATTGATGGAAGTATGGTAAGTGAGGTGAATGAGAAAAACTAGTTGAAAATAGTTGGAAGTTTAGTTGTGGCCAGTGATAAGTTTTGGGTTTTCTTGTTGTTGTTTTGGGTTTTTCTTTTTAGCTGCAGTAATATGGTGAGAATTCTATTTCTAAGCAAAGGAAGATAAATCTAGCAACAGTGCACAGAATGAAAGGAGAGAAACGAGACTAGAGGTAGGATGAAACTGGATAGCTACTGAAATTGTCCCAGCAGAGATAATGAGGTTCTGAACTAGGCTGGCACCAATGGGAATACAGGGAACACAGTGATGAATGACATTTTGAATTTGCAGGCAGAGTATGGTAGAGCCACTAACAAAAATAAGAAATACAAAAGAAAAATAAAATGATATATTTGAAGGATACGGGGTAGTCTCATTGGAAGTTGAGTATGCAATCAGAAATGAGCAAACGAAGCTAAAAAGGGTTGGACTTGAATTCAATTTGGGACTGTCCATAGAGAGGTGATTACTAAAGTCATTTAGACTAAATGAGATCATTAGAGAGAAAACAGAGAGAAATAAGGACCAATGCCAACTTTGTAAGGAATCCTAAATTTGGAAAAAAATGTAAGAGGAGGAAAAAGTCCCAGAGATAAAAAGAAAAGCAGCAGCCATGAGAGGTAAAAACAAACTCAAGAAAAGACTATTTTATTTGTGAACCACACCAATTATCGAGATCCAGGTCATGGCAGTGTCTATAATGTGCGCCTCCAGTGTGTCTACAATGTGTATGTGTCTGTGCAGCTATGTGGGGAGAAAATGGGCAACGAACCCTTGGCCTATAAGATCACATCTAAATTCCTAGCAAAGCCCTTTGTGGTCTGGGCCCTGCTTACTTGTCAGGTCTCATTTCCCACAGCCCCCACTTCTCACTTTATGTTTCAGCAATACCATGCCACTTACCCACTGGACACATTTCGCTCCCTCAGAGTCATGCATCTGCACATGCTGTGCTTCTTCCCCAAGTGTCATTCATTAACTCCACATCACCCCTCAGTTCTCCAAAACAACTCAGACCCCCCACTTCTCCCTATGCTCCAGCTTTACCCTGACCTTTCGAACCAGACAGAATAAGGAGGCAAGATGAACAAGAAAGAAGTTGATAAACCATTAATCCATAAGAAATGATGATGAAAGACATGTTCAGTAAAAGTATGGGAATGAAAGAACTGTAGAGCTACAAAGTTTATGGATAGAAAGAGGAATTTCAGAGGCCAGTTTTGAAGATGGCATTTCCAAGGTGTGGCTATGCTCCCATCAACTGAAGAAAATGGAAATCAAAACTTTTGTTGATAAAGACAAGAAATTATGAAGCCATATCAAAAGAATCAGAAACCTAATATGGTATATTTTCCAGTAAAGAGTATCTTCTATTTGTTTAACAGTTATAAAGTATTTCCATTTACATTATTCTTCATTAAACAGATATGGAAACTGAGGACTAGAGAGGTTATATGATTTGTCTAAGGATACAGAACTAATAATACCCACTACACCAAGCAGCTATTACAGAGAAAAGGTTGTGACCAGAAACAACAAAAAAGGGTTCTGGAGAACACTGCTAATATCCCCCAAATTCTACTCTCCCCTTCTTCCAGTCATATCATTTTAAAAATAAATGTATTTATTTATTTATTGCTTTTAGAGAGAGGAAGGGGGGGAGGGAGGGAGGGGGGAAAAGGGAGAGTGAGGGAGAGAGGTAGAGAGAGAGAGAGAGAGAGAGAGAGAGAGAGAGACATCAATTTGTTGTGCCACTTAATTTATGCAATGACTCTTGTATGTGCCCTGACTGGGGATTAAACCCACAACCTTCAGACATAGGGAAAACACTTTAACCAACTGAGCTACCTGGCCCAAGGCCAATCATACTATTTTTAACTGAGCACACTGACCACCCAGAATAAAAACTACATTTCTCAGCCTCCCTTGCAGTTAGGTCTCACAAATGACTGAGTTCCACCCTAATGAGATGGAAACAAACAATTCCTTTGAAATTTTCGAGGAAATTTCCTTAAGAAACTGCTGTCTTTTACTTTTTTTCTTTAATTATCCTACTGTCTGGAGAAAGAATGCTGCCATATTGACCATGACGGTGAGACTACATCTTCGGGTGACAGAACTAAGAAGCTGGGGTCTCTGAGGAATTTTTGGAGAGCTACACAACTATCTTTTATGTGCAAGAGCCGTAAACTTTTACCTTTAAAAAAACCACTGATATTTGAGGTTTTCTGTTACAACTAACTGAACCTAACTTTTTGAAATGTATTTTAAAAACCACAGAAAAGAATAATATTCCAAACTTGGAGGTGACTAAAATAGGGATGGGAAAGTTACTTAATTGGACTTGCAAAGATGAATGATTCCTATGTTCTGATGAAGGAATAATCCCAGTTCCAATGCATTACTGTTGGGGTAAGTAGAGGAAAGATTAGCCTTCCAAAAGATACCAGACTTCCACCATTGTAAGTGAATCAAATACTTTTGAAGAAAAGAATAAGGTTGTTGGGCATAGTGGAATGAAGCAGTGGAGGGGTAGAAGTATTAAGTGATATAGGGGCAGATGGACAGAATTAAGGATTTTTTCAAGAACAGAGATCATGGAAGTAGAGTAGCTGAAAGGTACACTAAAGGGGCACACAAATGACATGAGGTTTAACAAAGAACAGACAGCCCATATTAAAATAGTAAATAGTCCATTTTCTTCTTAGGAAGTGTCTATCTTAGAAAAACTGTTTTTACAAAATGACTTCTGCCCCAGCTCTAAGATGCCATTACAAATGTTAAAGGCTCATGGTTGCTACTTTGAAATACTGACACAGCAAATACAGGATTATGTACCCCTCTCTGTAAGACCAAATAAAATGAAGGGAACTTGATTTTTTGTTAGCCTAAAGTCAACCAATTTGTTCCAACAAAACTCCTCATAGCCAGAGATTTTGACACAGAAATGGAAATAACCAAATTCTACTACCTTAGCAGGCCCATGTCAAGTGAAGCACTAGTGAAGGAGAATGTGTAATTTAGGAGAGAACATTTTGGAAGACTAGTTGTTAGAAGGATTGGATCAATGTGCAGTCAAGCTAAAGAATATGCAAAAAGAAGAAACCATATTATGGTTTGTTATAATTCACAACAATGCAACACTGGGCCAGAAGTTCTTTGTGGATAGTTAAGCAACCAATTCTGAGGTTAAGCTACGTCTATATGGCTAGGACTACGGGCTGGCCGAACTATGCTCTTCAGTATCCACAAGGGGGTCATGATGTGCTTAACAAGGCGTTTCTGTCAAGCACTCAGCCATCTATCAAAAAATAAAGTATATCAACTTCCTTCATCAACAGCATTTAGCATTTACCAAATCTAATATTAAAAATCTAATATTAAGTGTGATTTAAAATATAGTTAGAAAACTACCAATTTTTGTTCCTTGGCAAACTGACACAAGCAACCTCTTTCTTAAACCTGGTACAAAAATAAGAAAGCATAAAATCAAGAGCACAAAAGAAGGCTGCAAAACAGTAAACCCTGCAAATCCTGAAGATTTCAAAAGTTTAAACATGGAAACATTTTTATTCCAAAGTCCTCTGCTTTTTCCCTGAGAGTTCATAAAGAACATGATTAATGAGTAAGACAGAGTTCTTGAAAAACTGTAAATCAAGACATCTCAATTTATTTATTGCAAAGCTTGTAGGAATGCTGATAGGAATTAGAGACTGATGGGCTCAGCTGATACTGCAGAATACTTGCATGCGTCAAATATTCATAAATTGTCTTTTATTACCTGACTCAGAATCCTCAAGCACTTGTGCCTTTGAAAAGAACTGCATACACTGAACTATATCAGGGCCTAGCACAGTACAAAAGAACCACCAGATTGTTGTAGAGTTAAAAATGTATCACTTTTATACATGTTTATATACACAGTACTTAATGAGGGATACCTTATGTCCAAAGAAATGAAAAGAATAGCACATCTTTGCTTTCTTAACTCTGTCTACACAGTGTTCATGCCTTTTACATTTCCAGTGTACTAGGAATGACCATATGTCACAATTAAGAATATATCTAACAACTGACCCTATATGCTATTTTATTTACACATTGACATATAAGCAAGGATAGAGAAGGGAGCCAGACTCCATACACACTCACCCAGTTAATGACACTCTCAAACCCCTCTTCACTCATCCCCTTAACATCCTCACAGCACAGCTGTACTGCTGGTGAGAGAGAACATGAACAGGACTGGAGCTATACAGGGGTAGCTGAGAGACATCTGCCTGTTGGCAAAGCAGAACAAAATTTGCTACCATTGCAAGCAGTGGTCAAAGGTGGAGCTAGGAAAACTACACTCAACAATGAAACGGAGAGGGCTTGGAGTTTATGAGTTGAAATAATATACCTTACACTCTGAATTCTGACCATCAATGAAGGACAACACTCAAAGGAAGGTATGGGGAACAGAAATCCCACAAATCTAGGCTCTACTTGCTCTTATTGACTTTATTTGATCGTTTCTCAAAAGCTGAGTGTAATGTGGGAGATTCGGCTATCTTGCTGCATTTTAGTATTAATCTGAAGCACTGCTTAATGCAGAAAAATTGTCTTCCTTTAGTAACGATTTTCTCAAAATTTACATTAGCCCAACCTGCCAAATAATCTGCGCCTCCTCATCCCAGCTGGAGCTAGATCCCACATCCCACATGCCTGAAGGTGAAGGTTCAGGAAAGGAGTTCCAGACCTCGCTAACTCTTAGTACCAGTCCTGCCACTAACTTGCTGGCCGACCCAAAGCAAGCCCCCTACCTTTCCCGAGCCTCCAGTACCTTGCTTGCTGCAAGAGAGGTCCAGGCTGGATGATGTCTACTACTCCTTCCTGTCTGACAACCTGTGCCTCTACACTGGAACTGAACTTTGGGCCACATCATTCATTGGGCACTCTACAGAATGCCAGAACATTTTTTTAAGAGAAAGAAAAGGGAAACGACAAACTTCAGGAACAAGGCTCCTCTCAAACTGATTCAGGGTAAACTCCGCTGTGAATCCCATAAACTTGAAAACACCATCGTAGGAAAAGAGCGTCTACCCGAATCGAGGTGAAAACGTGAAAGCGGACACCTTTGCGGCTCTGGAAAGCTGCCTCCCACGTGGAGTGTGTGTTCGGGTTATTTCACTCAACCTCCGGTTGCTAAGTTACACCGAAACCGAAGTGCCTCAATTCCAGGCCTGACACTCTCCGGGGGCTTTCAGGTTTCAGGGAACAAGCGGAGCAACAGCCGTGGAGTGCTCGTAAGTGCCTGAACACTTCGGGAGAAGGATTGGAGGGCGGAGAGGCGGGAGGGCGGCCAGGGGCCCCGCCGCCCCCTTCTCTATCGAGGCCCGGGAGGCCGAGGGCGGCGGCGGCTCCGGCCCATCCCACCCCATTCCGGACGGCTGCGAGCACGCGGCCGCGGAAGTCACCTGTAAAGGAGTCGGGGTAGATGGACTCCAGAGCCTCCAGCTCGTTGCGCTGCTCCTCGCCGTAATCTGTCATCGTGGCCCTCGCTGCTGCCCATGGATCGCGCAGACACCCAGGCGGCGCGCTGCAGCCGGGACCACGGCCGCGCCGGGAAAGCGGCAGCGGCCGGGCGGGCGCAGGCGCAGAGTCCCCGGCTGGGAGGCCCGGAGCCCAAAGCCAGGCCCGGCCTGCTGAGCACCAGCCCCGCGCCGGCCTCCGCCTGCTCCTTAGCTCCGCGCTCGACTGGCCGAGCCTGGCCAGCGGGGCACCGAGGAGCCGCCCGCCCCACGCCCTGTCGGGATTTGCCGGGACGGCGAAGGCTCCCGGCCTGGCATTCGTCACAGACACCTAGGGCCGGGTCCTGGGCCTTGCAGGGCCCAGCCTGAGAAGCCCCTCAGCGCCGCATCCGCGCTCGATGAGTCAGGGCTGCAGGTCGGCCTCGGGCTCCGGAGCCGGAGGGAGTCGCAGGTGGGAACTCGCGGCGGGGAGTCCGCGAACCCGTCGCTTCCGGTGTGCGACCCGGTGGCCCAAGGGGACGGACCGACGCGCGCTAAGTGTGGTTGATGGTGAGGTCCAGGTGTGTCTACGCTTCTCCGACCTCCAAGGCCCGTGGCATCGCGCGGGAGGGCGGGAGGCCGCGGGCAGGGCAGAGCCGGGGGGCCGGGGGCCGGCGCCCCGCTGTGGGTCCCGCGCCCGGAAGGGTCGGCCCAGCTCCCGAAGGCTGCTCCGAGGGAGTCGGGGAGACGAGACCGCGAGTCCGGAGATCTGGGCTCCACACTCAGATTCCTTGGATTCGCTTTTAAATCTGTGAAATGAACGCGGCTGGACCCGGAGTTAGAGATGTCTGTGATTGCGCATTTCTGCAAATTGAGGAGCGTGCGGATTTCATAGCCGTTTTGATGAGCACTGTGGGAGAATCGGTACTCCGAAAAATGTTCCGAACCCTTGACCTGGGAGAATAAAACCGAGCAATATACTTATACTGTATACATCTGTCATCTCTTCAGTTCGTCGCATCAGTTTCTTTTTTCCCCCAAAGAATCATAATGGCAAAAGCTAAGCAAATGGCTAAATAAAACATGTTACTTTTATGAGAAGAATACTAAGGAACTATATGATGATAAAGGAACGTGTTATGTTAAGTAAAAAAAAAGTGGGAAATGTAAGAAAATACATTAGGAGAATTTTCACTTTTTAATATTTTCCTGTGTTTTGTTTTCTGTATTAAAGCTGGTTTCACCTGTGTAGTGGGGGGAACGATTTTTAAGAAGGTCCCTAATGATGAGGCTGTGAAGTTTTCTCTTCCATCATTCTAAAATGATCATGTCTCATGGACTTCTAAGAAGGCATCTTGATCTGTCGGGAAGTATTGCTTACTTATAGCAGAGGAATACATTAAACATATTCAGATACACTTTGGTACTGATCCTGTGTCTTAAAATATTAAGAGTTGATTAGGATACTCTTTTAAAATTTCAGGAAAAAAAGCAGGAACTCTTCTGAAGATGAGAATCAAATAAAATACACGAAGTAGCTTATTTTCCTGTATATGGTCAGTTCAGAGAAACTAAGGCTTTGCTATCAGGTAAAGAGCTTCTGGGCAGAGGGAACAATGCCAAGTTCCTAAGCTGAGAGCCCAGTTGGTATTTTGGAAGCCTCCTGTGTGGCTGGTACACAGTGAACTGGGTGAGGGTGGGGGATTGCAAGTTAAGTCGGGTCATTAGAGGGTTTAGCTGAAAGAGTGACAATCTGACTACATTACTTTAGCTACTAAGTGTAACTATACATAAGGGGGACAAAAACTGAAAGTGTGGAGACCAATTAGGAGGCTATGGTAATAATGTAAGCAAAAGTCAGTGATGACTTGGACCAGAGCTGTACGTGTGAAGGTGGTTAAGAGTGATCAAATTCGGGATGTATTTGGAAAGTAGAGCTGTCAAGATTTGATGTGGGTTGTAAGAAAAAGAGGAGTCAAGAATGGTTTTTGGTTAGAAGAAACTGGAAAGATGTCTTTTGACCAAAGTGACAGGTGAGAATAACAATGAGTTTAGCAAGGAAGCTAACACCTTCAAATAAAATAAAAAAGCAAAAATTAAAGTTTTTCTAGTTGATAATAACCAATCAAAATAGATGCAACAAAGCATCCGATTTAAGGTTTATATTAGAAAATGGATGTTAATATTGGCTGTAAGTTTTAATCTAGGAAACAGTGCCACTTTATTTGCTTAACTATTTTATTAATAGGTTTTTGGTAAAACATCCTTTTTAAACCTGTTAAATATATGCTGAAAAGCCTTCATATTTCATAATGCTTAAGAGTGTTGGTTTGTTGTTTTCCTGTTATTTAATACTGGAGATAATTCCCCAAAAGAGCTTCAGTGCAAGTGTAATTGAGAACACACCCCAGATCTTTGTCATACCTGCATGGGCATCATTAACTTATTCTTTGTTATTGATTAGAAAGGGAGGAAGGAAGGGAGTGAGAGAGAGAGAAAGAGAAAGAAACATCCATGTGAGAGAGATACATATTGGTTGCCACCCTTATGTGCAAAGCATCGGTACATATAGAATCAGGTACATATAGAATCGTAGAATGCTTGCCCTAGAAATTATGTTTTCAACATAATTTTAATCTACAGAGGTTTTAATCTACAGGGTGTCATTCATGACAGGTCTGTGGGTTCATAAACTCCTGAAGTGTGTTGGTATGTGTTCATTTCCTATTGCCATCCTAACAAATTACTGCAAATTTAGTGGTTTAAAACATTGTAAATTTATTCTCTTATAGTTTTGCAAGAACAGTATGTAATTGTACAAAATTCCTTCACATTTTCTATATTATCTAATGTCATTTCAGAAATTCATTTTATAATATGTGAATCTGTCTACCAGTTTGTTATAAGCAGTAAATGGGATATTTTAAATTAACTGGCATATAGTAAATACCATATTATATTCACTACTACTACTACCATCACTACTACAGGTGGGTGCAGTCACCTGTCTGGACCATTGGGGGACAGCAGAGGACACAACCCTTGAAGCCCATTTCTTACTGAAATTTGGGTGTACTGAGATTAGAGAAGGTTAATTGTACTTGGTGGTTAGTACAGAAAAACAGTTCAAGTGAAGACTAATGTAATTTGTATGTCTGGAAATACTGTCCATTGTTCTTTGGTCCAGGTGTCACAGTTAAATATTTGTGCCCCATAGCTCAAGTAGCCAGTTGTGTAGCTATCTAGTCCGAGGATGGCCTGCTGTTTTGTGACCAGAGCTAAATATTGGTAGCCTTATTTAAAAAAAAATTTTTTTATCCTCACCCGAGGACATTTTTGCATTTATTTTCAGATAGAGTGGGAGGGAGAGAGGGAGGAAGAGAGAAAGAGAAACATCGATGTGAGAGAGACACATCAAGTGGTTGCCACCCACATGACCCCAACTGGGGCTGGGGACAAACTGCAACCGAGGTATGTGCCCTTAGGAGGAACTGAACCCGGGACTCTAGTCTGTGGGCCGATGCTCTAACCGCTGAACAAAACTGTCCAGGGCTTGGTAGCCTTATTTAGAAGCTAAAATTGCATCTCTATACTTTATATTTTGTGGTAACAAATAGCTACCTAGTCTTTTAGTTGGAAGGCTTTTGGTTGGACATGATCTTTCAAAGTTTTAAGGTAAATGTGATTTCCTTTTGTGCTAAAAACAGAGTGCAAGAAAACATTTGTAAAGTCACTTTGTTGTTTCTTATTACAATTAGAATTTTTTAAAAATGGAATTAGAGATTGAGAACAGAAAGGAGACAAGCTGATGAGTATAAGTATGATTCTGAAATTTGAAAACAGAAAGCTGAGTAAAACATATCTAAACACTGGATTGTATTTGTCTCCTGAAAGGAGGTAACTTAAATTGTGGTGGGGGTGGGAGGTAGGAGGGGTGGGAATAGACAAACTTGAAGTTAAGAAATGAGCAGGTCTGTATGTATGCCAAGCCAAAGCATTTGATGTAGTCAACAGCATTTGGTAACAAAATATAAGGTAGCATTAGTACTTAATTAATTTTAATTATATGTTTTAATTACATAAAATTACATCCATTAAGCTTGAAGAGGAAGAAATAAAAATGTTTTTAATGGAAAAAATTGTCTAACTGGCTGTAGAACAAAAGAATACTCTGGACACACACACAAAAAGACCGGATTTATTTTTTATTTTTCAATTACATTTTACATTCAATATTATTTTGTTTTAGTTTTAGATGGAGCATAGTGGTTAAACAATAATATACTTTACAAAGTGGTCCCTCTGATATTTCCAGTACCCACCTAGCACCATACATAGTTATTACAATATTATTCACTATATTCCCTATGCTGCACTTTACATCCCTGTGACTATTTTGTGACTATCAATTTGCATTACTTAATCCCTTCACCTTTTCACCAAGCATCCAAACCCCCTTCCCCTCGCCAGGTAACCATAGTCTGATCTCTGTGTCTATGAGTCTGTTAGGGAATTTGTGTAATTTAAAATGGATATATACGATGACATCGCAAGAATGTGTACCATCCTTTGATATTCACAGATAGTAGAAAATCTGATGAAGCCATGCGGTGGAGCCAAAGAATACTTACAGTTCTTTGCTACAAAGCTATAATGGAAGATCATGAGTAAGTGGTTCAAACATATATTGTGTGTTTCATATTCTGAAAGAGTGTTCTGTAGAAAGGGCTTCCAGAATCTAGTAGAAAGAGCTTTCTAGTATTAGTATATAAATAACTCTTCTTTCTGATGATATAATACTTTAACTTCATACACTTAGATTTTGCTGTTAACTGAAAATCTTACTGAAGAGTATTTACTGTGGTATAGTCCCTGAAAACTAACAAAATAATTCTGAGCATAATGTAAAGTGTTAATTTAACTAGTGTGTCTCAATATAGAGGAATTTCAAAAATTTTCAGATAAATGGATCCATTGAATTTTAGAGCTGGAGCAGACAGTAGAGAACAAAGTGTATGTGACCTATATTTATATGGCTCATTTATGTTAGAGCGGAGCAAGGACCCTAGTTACCTTCCATAGTTCTGTTTTTTAAAGATCCCTCTTGTCATGTCATAAGTACTATGCATAGAGTTAGATGACAAAGTGGAATAACTTTCCTTGGCCACTTGGAAAAGATCAGTACATTAAGATTCTTTCAAAAGTGGAGTGCCAACGGGGGGACATATGTAATACTTTCAACAATAAAGATTTTTTTTTTAAGTGGAATGCCAACAAATATCTTTAGAGAAAGCTCAGAATCAAATTCAAGAATATTTTCCTTCCAGTAGAAACAACCTGGGCTTACTACCATTCTAGAAGATTGCATACATATTGACCTGTATACATGTAAACATAAACATAAAAATCTTATTAGACGTAGGAGGGACCCCAAGAGTGTATCTGTTTATTCCTTGCCCTCCGGCAGGTAAGGTCTCATTACCCCTATTTTAGAGATGAAAAAATTGAGTCTTACAAAGACTGAGTTGCTCAATAAGTAATGGGGATGGAGGGACAGGTCTCCTGTCCCAGCAAAGTGCTACACTATGCATTTCTTATTGGTTTAAAAAAAATGGTTTCCTTAAAATTTATTTCTTCCATAATTGTATAAAATTAAATTACCAAGTAACTGATTGTTGGATAGTCAAATAGTCAGGTCTCTTTGAAAGTGAATCTTGAGCCCTGGCCGGTTTGGCTCAGCAGTTAGAGCGTCGGCCTGCGGTCCAGAGAGACCTGGGTTCGGTTCCCGCTAAGGGCATGTACCTCGGTTGCAGTTTGTCCCCGGCCCTGGTTGGTCGTGCGGGTGGCAGCCACTCGATGTGTCCCTTTCACGTTGATGTTTCTCTCTCTCTCTCTCTCCCCCCTCCCCCCTCCCATTCTATCTGAACAAAAAATGGAAAAATGTCCTTGGGTGAGGATTAAAAAAAAAAAATGAATCTTGAAAGTCAACTTGACTATTGGCATTTGGTCTGTTGTCAGTTAGCAGACATTATTTTGGTTAAAAGTAAATAAATAAAAAACCTCATTTTGTTTATTTATGCCAGTGAACCAATTGCTTATGTGAAGGTGGCAAAAATCAGGCACAAGACATTCCATGTGTCAGAAATAATCAAGATAAATTAGAAAACTGTCAAATATTACAAGTGCAAAGTCATACAGAAAAGTCAGGCAGGTCTCCCCTTTTGGAGTTCTAAATAATGAATATGCAAATGTAGGTTACAGTCTTGCTTCCTCAAATGTATTTTGAGTGCAAAAGGTGCAATTTGATAATGAAAAAGCACAGATAATGTCTCTGTAGTGGAACACAGTAGGGAAGCTTTATGTCATAGCTATAAAAATGCTCCCAGGATGAAGGTGCTACAAACAACGTTTATGATAGTGATGGTACAATAATGCATCATCCTTCCCTGGTTATGGCAGGATGACTCAAGACCTTCTTCAATGGGCTTCTTCCTTACATGTCACCAGTGTATCTTGATTTTCCAAAAGGTCAGATATATAAGCTTGGAGAAAGAAGTAGTAAAAAGTTTCTCCATCTAGAGAGAAAGAAAAGAAAGAAAGAGGGAGGGAGGGAGGGAGGGAGGGAGGGAGGAAGAAAATAAAGAGAAAACCAGAAATTGGAGACAGAAAATAGTGATACAAGACATGGAATGCAAAGAGAAGGGAGAAGGCAACATTTATTAACACTTATTTTATGAAAGGCACTGTGCTGTGCACTTTGCTTATATTACCAAATTCAATCTTCACAGAAGTTCTGTGAGGTAGCTACTATGTGCAGACAACAAAATGGCACTCAAAAATAGTGATTTTTTCACTACTACTAAATAGCAGAACCAAGATTCAAATGTTGATATGACTCCAAATTCCATATTGATTTATTATTTATTATTATTATTAATCCTCAGCTGAGGATATTTTTCCATTGATATTTAGCTAGAGTGGAGGGAAGGAGGAAGAGAGAGAGAGAGAGAGAAACATTGATATGAGAGATACACATGGATTGGTTGCTTTCCACACAACCCCCACTGGGGCCAAGGATTGTACCTGTAACCCAGGTACATGTCCTTGACCAGGAATCAAATCCAAGACCCTCTGGTCCGAGGGTCAACACTTTAACCACTGAGCCAAACTGGCCAGGGCTCCATATTGTGTTTGTTTTTTTTTTTCCCTCACCTGAGGACATTTTTCCATTTTTTGTTCAGATAGAGCAGGAGAGAGAAAGAGGAAGAGAGAGAGAGAGAAACATCGACGTGAAGGGACACATCGAGTGGCTGCCACCCGCACGACCAACCAGGGCCGGGGACAAACTGCAACTGAGGTACATGCCCTTAGCGGGAACCGAACCCGCGTCTCTGTACCACAGGCCGACGCTCCAACCGCTGAGCCAAACCGGCCAGGGTTCCATATTGTTTTAATAAGACCAATATAGGCATTACCAGACCATCAATGGAATTTCAAAAACAGAGATTGGCACAATTATCAGACAAATTGATTTTAGAAATAGTATTTTGGACTGTAAACATATTAGAAGAGAGAGAAAAAGATAAAGAAATTATACTGAAATTCCATCATCATAAGAATGAAGTACGTGTTAAGCAACCTGAATTGCAAAAGGTGCTATAATCAAGGTTTTAATTCAATGCCTTCTGATTTGCTTTCCTCATTAACTTCATCCACCTGCTCTCCAAGGAAGCTATAGTGACCTTTCAAGTCATCACCCATGCAGAGAAGACTGGGTGCTGAAATATCTTTCCAGTCCTGACATGAAGGAATACGGATGTGTTTGACGTCTTCACTTCCAGGAATGAAGCCAAATATTTTCTTTATGCGCTGCATGATGAGGTGGCGCGAGTGCTGCTCTGCAGCTTGTTCAAAGAGCTCCCTCTCGTTGCGGAGGTGGTTGGTCCAGTAGCAGTGCTGCAGAGGTGTGAGGGGAGAGCAGCATCTCACCAAACAGCGGGAGACGAGGGTAGCGATAGCTGCCAAGGTGATTAAAATCCAGCCCAGCATCTTCGTGTGATTGTTTAAAAGGAAAACAGAAAACATCAATGCATCGAATATTAAGAAACCTCCATGTAGAAGGAATTCCTATAAAACTGAGAACCATACTGTGGGCAAGATATTTGTTTTTCTAGTTTTTAACATACTAACAAGGTGCTGATCGTTTGATATGAATATGGATGTGATGAAAGTATAGGCCCAACCATTTCAGCTTTGTTTATGAATTACAAAGGAGTTAACTTGGAATGGATTTTAAGTATTGCCCTTGAAACAGCAGATGCTATAACCCACCACTTACCTTTGCATAAAGGTACATAAAACATGTTCTTGGTTTTTAGTTCATCTTTACTTTCGACCATCAGGTAGAGGCCCATGCATTCTCTAGGGGCTAAATAAGTATTTGATAATGATGGTGATGAAAATGATATGATAGATAATAATGGTAGCCTCCTAAGGTGTCTTCAATGAGGTGTCAACAAGTATTCATTAATATTTCTTCCTGACGCCTGGCTGGTGTGGCTCAGTGGTTGAGCATTGACGGATGCACCAAGATGTCACTGGTTCGATTCCCAGTCAGGGCATCAGCCCAGGTTGGGCCAAATCCCCAGTGGGGGACATGCAGGAGGTGGCCAATCGATGTTCTCGCTCATCGATGTTTCCATCTCTCTCTCCCTCTCCCTCCTCTCTCTCTAAAATTAATAAAGAAAAAACATTAAAAAAAATTTTATCTTGAGTTGCTCTTTTCTTTTATTTTTTTATGACCAAAGAAGAAATTCAGTGAGTAGACTCTTATGTCTCTAAATGTACAACACTTTATTGTTTTCATTTCCCCTCTCCCTTTAAATTATCATTTGCTGACTAGTTTTATGGCTTGTTTTTAAAATATACTCTGAAAGGAAAATGAACTAGATTTTATTTGCAACTATTTAGTTTCTACCTTTAAAGAGTGATGTGAATGGTTGTTTTCTACTCTTAGAATCTTTTTAAAATTCCTTTTCATTCTTCTTTTCAATATTCAGTGATTGTTATGTAAAGTGAGAGACACAAGTTTCACACATGTAGGGAAGCCAGCAGTAGGCAGCCCCAGTCTGGGAGGTGAAGGTCTCTTTCACAATTTGTTATTCACCAACAGACCTGGAATTACCGGTGTGTGCACACCAGGATAGCTGCCCTCTGTGGAGGCTGAAACCTGCAAAGGGATACTCATCACAATTAAACTTAATAGAGGCAAGGTGGAGGAAAGGCCATCTCGGATGCCCATTAATTGTCCAACTAACACTTATTGAGCTCCAGGTTGACCTCCACCATGTGCTGTGCAATGGTACTTGGTTTTGGAAACTCAGATGTGAATAATTTAAGATACGTTCATTCTTTCCACAGTCATTAAGCCTAAAGAGTGAGACAAAAGAGCAAGCCAAGAAATATGGTAAAATATGATAATTTTTGATATGTGTAAACACAGGAACCGAGGAAGCACAATGGAAGAGAAATAAACCTGTTTAAAGGAGAAGAGTATCAAGGAACACTTCTCAGAGGAGGTGATGCTCACACTTAAATTATTAAAGAGGAGTTCAACAGATGTAAGAAGTGGAGGAGTGTTCCAAAAAGGGAATAAGACAGAAAAATGAGAGCAAAAAGAGTTGGGAAAACCTCAAGAAGTCTGGATTCACAAGCTCCTAGGAGACATGGGAAAATGGTCAGGGTGCAGATCCCGAAGGCCTAGTCTGCCATACTTAGAATTTCTATTCGTACATAGGCTGGTAGGAAATCATTAAAGGACATTATGTGGACAAAAGAGGGCAAGGTCCTTACAATTTGCATTTAGAAAAATAATTTTGGCCTGGGTGTAGAAAGTAGATTGAAACAGTGAAACAAAGGGCAGGAAGATACTATAGAATGAGGTATGAGTAGAAAAGGGATTTGAATTTGATCCTGTGGTCAACTCAGAATAGTTCAACTGAACAACAGTGTATATTTCTCAAATGAGATTGATGTTCAAGGTAGCTGCAAAAGGCAGCCTGGTAAATAGAAACAGCATGATCTTTGAATATCTCAAGTGACATTTATTAGCTCTATGAGCTTATGAAAGTTACAGAAAACTCTTTGGTTTCCTCATATGTAAAATGGGGTTAATTATACCTGTCTCTTAAGATTAGGAACATTGGAGTTAAGATATGAAATATATAGTATATGATGAGCATCTCAATAAATATTAAATATTGATATGTGTTATAAATATCAATTAAATATATTTTTTATTTTGTCACTAAATCAAAAAAGTCCACTGGCTGAGGGCACTCAGAACTGTAAAACCATCTTTTCACAGAAGTCTGTGTATCATTAAATAAGACATGTTATTTTAACCATAAGAAAATGGTACCATTGCATGTTACATCTTAGTTTTCCTCAAGCAAGGAAATTTTTTAAAGTTAAAATTTCCCCATTGATTATTTGACTTTTCACCTATATTCACATACCTCCTCTACCCAAGATTTAAGGCTAGTATAAAAAGGTTGAGACAAAGCCTATCTTAATGGGATTTCTAATTTTGCTTAAACTGGACCATATGCAACACTGCTGTATTCTGTGTGTTGATAGTATTTTTTCAACTAAATACTATGATCACTTCTAAATTTTAATAACTGAAAAGTGATGGGTCAAAAATGTCTTTGCAATAAGTAGTTTAAAAATAATATTTTTACTCCATTGCAGTGGTTTGAAAATTTGTCTTTTTCCCTAAATTCCTTGGAGAAGCTGACGAAAGACAATGATTCTCTGCTGAACTGCACTTTTACACTTTTTATATTTAACTCACAGTGCATTAGGTTCAAGCCTTCCACCCACCTCCCTCATCCTGCTCCTCACACAGACCTGTCTAAGGACACTAAATTTAGAACTATCATAGGTGTTTATTTTAATTATATTTAAGCTTCCTGTAATTTTGGATGATATTTAATTTATAAGACTATTTAAGAATATATATGTAATGAGATGAAATTTAGTTATATGGTAATAATAATTTTAATAGCCACATCTGAAATACATTATTTTTGTAGATATAGATTCTGGACACAGTATTGAGCACTTTAGATAGCTGATTTTTTCCTCATACCATCCTACACAGTAGATCCCATCAATATCCTCATTTTACATCTAAGAAAAGTAAAGCATGGATAAGTTACATGACTTGCTTAAGGTTTTGCAGGTAAATAAACAGCAAAGCAAGACTTAAACCCAGGTCTGTGATGCCAAAGCCCAATATCCTAACTCTATCTATATAGCTGCTTGGTAGAAATCACTTTGATGAATGGCATCGAGTTTGTGTTCTATAATCAGACAATATGAGAAGTAGCAGGAATGTGAAATGTCCCCAGTGCCTGTAGTTCATGTGGAAGAGGATTTAAAAAAAATAAAAAACTTACTTGTGACTGGTATCTGTGCTGAAGAGCTACTTCATCTCTTACCGGGATCATGTCAGATGGAGCTGATTTGCAGCATGGAAAACCAGCTACGATCTCTTCCCGCTTGTTGGCACTGATGTTGTCAAACGCCGAGTAATGGTCCACAGATGCAAATTCACTTGCTGCACATTGATAGTAGGTGCCTGTCATCAGGGTCACCACCAGCCACGTCAATGGAGCAATGAGAGCCCTCCCGGTGATGCTGAAGAACCGAAGGCAAGCCAGCTTCTGCTCCAGGGGGCTGACTCTCTGGTATGGAGGGACACAGTTGCAGCAGCAGTCACTTGAAATTCTCCACATTTGGCTTCTCAGAGCATAACCAGCAACCAGAAGGATCAAGGCAGGAATGACTAGGAAAGCAGAACCATAAGAGAAATTTTTCCCAACCTGACAGGGACATCTGAATGTGAAAGAGGAGAACAGTTGTTGCCCACAAATAGTCAAACCAGCAATTAAAAAATTGATCAATGTTCCACTTCTCTGCAGAGAAGACCCAATATTGTTGAGAGTTGAGCCCATCATTGTGAAACCCTTCCACAAATCAGCTTGAAGCCCTTTCTGATCATTAGACCTCTCCAGCTACAACCATTTTATGGGATCTTACTGGTTTAACTGGTTGTGTCAGTTGACCCAACATCCTTACATGTTGAAAAGATTCTAGCATCTTGTGCACCTTGGGAGTCCTGACCTAATAAATGCACTTCACATCACAGCTGAAAGATGTTGAAAGAGAGGTTCATCTGGTATGACTGACAGGGAAAATTCCCAGTGTATCTTCCCACCGAAGAGAGGATGGCTTGCTTGCCAAGCAGACTGCTGCCGACATTCCATGCTGCTTTGTGGGGCACAGAATGCTCAGCACCAGCAATAGAGCACTGGGAGCAAAACAGAGGACGTTCTTACTTTTGTGCTAGTCCGGGATTTGGTTACCATAAAATTATGGCATAAAGAATAATGGAAGCTATCAAAAACTAAAGTGATCCAAAATTCAGAGCTGTCTGGAGTATCCATAACCCAAGAGTTCTGCAAGAAGGTCCCAAAAGCTTTCCCAAAAAGAGAAGAACAAGGCCTGGGTACTCCTAAAGCCGAATCACAACAAAAGCGGTCTCACTTGGCATAAAAATCTATTTGGATCGACAGGATCTAATATAATAGTATGTTGCTTTATACATTTAGTTGCAAATTTGTTAATATGATATCTTTTTTGTTCTATAAAAATGTGACATCAGGGTATGAATAAAGTTACATATATTTATAAAGTTACATATATATAAAGAAGAAATAAAATGATCACATATGTAAGGTGTTTTCTATGTTTGCTTAATCAGCAAATATTTTTTTGTATACTTCTACATAAAAGGCACTGAACTAGGCTTGGTTGGGCTTATAAAAAGTGATTAAGATATAAATTTCTGTTTCAAAGAAACTCTCAACTGAACATGATTAAATACATAATCAGTGAATTAAAACATAATGTTGAGGAATTCACCCAAAGCCCAATACAAAAAGACAAATAAAATATTTTAAAAACCAATTAAAGGAAATAGAAGACAATTAAGCAACTTCAAGATCTGCTAAATAAGAGTTCCAGAAGAAAAATATGAAGGGATAGGCAGAGAAGCAATATTTGAAGAGCAATGAGTGAGAATTTTGCAGAATCAAAGTTCTCACATCAGAGCGATATTAGATGTTATGAACAGTACAAAGATAAATCCACATAGAGACACATAATAATAAAACTGCAGTGTGAAAAATAAAAGGATATTCTTAAAAGCTACCAGAAAAAGAGATACAGAAGCTATAAAAGAATGACAATAAACTAACAGGAGGCTTCTCATCAGTAACAATAGAGATCAGAAGACAGTATCTTCAGAGTAACTTAGTACCAGCTAAACCATCATTCAAGACAGAGCAAAATAAAGATACATAAGACCAAGGGAATTTACCACTCATAGAACCTCATTAAGAGGATTGTTAAAGTGTATTTTCAGCAAGGAGAAAATGAACTCTGAGGAAAGACATGGATTAAAAAATAATGATAAGACAGAACTTATACGCATGTATGCATGATCAATGGACTTGGACAACTAAGCCGGGGACAGGGCGGGGCAGGGGTGGGGAGGGGAGTGCCAATGGGGTAAAAAAGGTAAAATATCTGTAACAAAAAATAAATAAATAATTAAAAAAAAATAATAATGATGAGTACAAACATGATGGTCTTAAGACGTTTCTTTAATTATAAGCTGTAGAAATAACTACTTTCTAATTTAAAAGATATAATTAAGGCAATACATGGTTATAATAAGATATCACTACTAAAATGGTTAAAATTAAAATGATTGATCATATTAAATGCTGGTGAGGATTGCAGAGTAACTGGAACCCTCATATACTGATGGTGGGAACATAAAATTGGAAAATTTCCATTTCTTTAAAAGTTAACTCTATAGCCCTGACTGGTTTGGCTCAGCAGTTAGAGTGTCGGCCTGCTGACCAGAAAAGTTAACTCTACATCCACTTCATAACACGTGCATTTATCTCCTAGGTATTTGCTCAAGAGAATGAAAGCGTATGTCCACATGAAAACTTGTACACGAATGTCCATAACAGTTTTATTTATAATAGATGCAAATCAGAAACAACACAATGAATTCAAAATAGAATTCAATAAGAATGAATTAAAAATAATTTCCTGGATCAAAGAATTCAAGTGAAGAAATACATAATGTGTGACTATATAAAATTCTAAAAAGTGTAAATTCATCTATACTGACAGAAAATAGACCCATGCTTGTCTAGGTAACAGGGCAAGAGAAATTAAAAGAAAGAGATTACCAAGAGGCATGAGAAAATTTTCAGACATTGTATCAATTTGTACCAGCAGGATTTTAATTAATGGAAATGATTCAGTGATGCCACAGAGAGCCAGCACCACTGAAAGAAGAATTTATTACTTACATTTCCAAGAGAAAGAGGCATGCCAGGCCCAAGGAGAAGCACCAGGCTTGGTCAGGAGGCAGATAGGAGGAGCAGAACGACTAGGCCAGAGCTTTTACTGGTATTTCATGGGAAAGGCAAGACAGGACAGAGAAAGCAGCTTAGGACTGGCTAGTTTAAGTAATTCTGGTGGGCGTTGGGGCAGAGGGGCTGTCACTACTTGTCTGCTACTGCAACCTGGGTTGATTTAGAGTAGGAGAAATATTGGCTTGTATGAGAGAGAAGAAGGTCCTTCAGAGTATGGACTCTGGATCGCCATGGGAGAAGTAAATTACTTGGGCTATTAGTGTGGCCCTGTAATTAATGGATGCCAAATAGACAAATAATCTAAGATAACACAGTTAAAACAGGATGATGGAAATGTCAATTATACTGATTGATCTGACAGTGTCAGGGACCAAAACTCTTCAAATTGTATACCAATTATATCTTAAACAGTAACATTTTAAGTATAATTATTAAGTAATAGAAATACGGTGTATAGGTCACTCACAAAACAGAGAAAATAAAAAGAGAATATTGATAGAAAAAGAAATAATAAGCAAAGGGAAAAGGATGGTGAAAAGAAAACACAGAATAATGGTAGAAATGAGACCAAGCACACCAATTTTCACATGAAAAAGTTAAATAGCTAATAAGTACTGAGTGCTTACTACATGACAGGCACTATTCTAAGAATTTTATCTTATTTAGTCCCCACAATCACCCTATGATAATATTATTCTCAGCTTTTTTACAAATGAAAAACTGAGGTATAGAGAGCTTAAGGAAATAGCACAGGGTCACAGAGAGATGAATGGAAAAACCAGGATTAGGACCCAGGTGGTCTGGAACATGTTGTTAACCACCACACCAGAGCTGGAATAAACTTACCTGTTGAGTGATTTTAAAATAGTCATGTACTTCTGAGTAACACACCTAAAACTAGGCCATACACAAAGCTTGAAAAATAAAGGCATTGGCATACATATTACTAATAACAGTATTAATATAAGGCAAAACTGAACTAAAGGCAAAAACTGCCAATAAAACTAATATTGACAACTCCATCATAATAAAAGGAACAATCCATTATGAGATATTATGACACTTGTCAACTTGTATGTCTGTGACTGAATAACTGAAATATATAAACAAACACTGATAAAATTATAAGGAGAAATTCTTAAAGTCATAGAATTTTTAAACATATTTTTATCAGAAATGATTGATCAGTTGAACATTAGAAAGGATATAGAAGATATGGAGAACAATATTAGCAAGCTCTAAGATACATGTAGTATCCTATACCCTAAAAACAGAGAATGAACATTTTCATAAGTTCCCAGTAAATCATTTGCCAAGACATTGATCATGTACAAAATCACAAGGGAAATTTTGGCGTTAATGTCCAATAACAAGGAAACAGATTTAAAAACCATGGTAATAGAATGCTATAGAGTAGTGGTTGTAATCTATGGTTCAGGGACCAAACTGACTTACTGCCTATTTTATATTACTTTTGACCTAAGAATAGGTTTTACATTTTAAACCGATTAGAAATTAAAAAAAAAAAAGTTTGTGATGTGAAAATTACATAAGATTCAAATCTCAGTGTTTATAAATAAATAAAGATTTATTGGCACATAGCCGTGCCTGTTCCCAAGATGTCTACGGCTGCTTTCCCACCACAGCCACAGTGTTGAATGGTTGTGACGGGGTCTGTATGGCCACAACGCCTAGCTAACCCTTCACAGAAAATGTAGGCTATGCAGCCTTTCACAGAAAAAGCTTACTGACATCTGCTATAGAGCTGTGAAAATAAATTAACTAGATTGACAGCCATGGATATGTATAAGTCTTAACAAGTAACTTTGAAGAAAAAAATCAAGCTACAGGATACGTGTAGTATGAGACACATGTAGAGTTTTAAAATAAAAGAATATTGCATATTCTTTATGATTAATAACATATGATTTAAAAATATGCATAGGAATAATAAATATCAAATTCTGGATAGTGGTGACCACTGAGGAGGAAAGAATAAGATATTTCAACTGTATCAGTGTTACTTTATTGTGTAAAAGCCTGAATTACATAGAGCAACTTGTTCAGTAGAGCTTGGTGGCAAGTACCATGTCTTCCTTGTGTTTATAATTTTATATTTTAAAAAATCAGTTTAATAGAGTATGTGGGGAATGAGGACATAGAGAAGGAAATGGTAGACCATTCTTTCGAGAAACTATATAGAAAAGGTTGGAACATTGATTAGAAGTCACTGTTGAGGTGTCAAAGTCTTGCTGTAAAGGACTTTATTGATGACAAATTCTTAATTTCTTATGTTGTTTACTGTTGGAAGAAATAATGTCTTCATTTGCAGTACCAGTGTGTGACTTGTCAATGATTGTGAATTACTACCTTTATGAGTCATCAATTTTCGATTGGGCTTTATAGCCAAATGGTCTCCATGTTAAAGACAGCTTTCTGTCACCTGTCTATCCAACATATAAGGTCTGTTCCTCAACAGGTACCCACCTGCCCATTCACTGAGTGCACAATGGCACATGGATACGGGAAATCAGGCCTGGAAGGTGGGGCTGACCCCAGGGGGGTAGGGTGCCGAGCGAATAAACAAATTTTACGTAAAGAAATTCAGGTAAAATAAACACCAAAAGCAGCCTTAAATAGAAAAATAAATTGCAAAACAATAAGCTCCTCAAAAGATGTTATGGGAGATGGACATGGCTTTACCTTGTCTAAGAGTTTGTGGGTGATCTCAGATGGTGATCATACGGCTGATGGGTTAGTAGATCTCCTCTTTTAACTTCTCCCCAAGTTTCTAATCAGCCGCCCAGGTACCTCCCAAATGACCAGTATAGGGGAGTGGCCCAGTTCACCATTTACTTGGGTTGTCTAACACTGCACTGCAGATAATGACAAGACTGAAAAATGCATCATATTTTCAACCCCAACTCTGAATTCAGTCCTAGACACTGCAAAAACTCTTAATAGAAGAGGAAAAACTGCATTATTTTGAAATAACTCTTCTTTCTAGTTTGCTGCCAGGGCAGACATTATTGATTTTCAACAGGTGTACCACAAGAATTTTTAAAATACGCAACACCTGACTATTTCGTCAAGGGCACTGACCTCTTCCCTTAGATCGTCAAATTAAAAAATAACAACAGCCAACACAACAATAGCCATCCAGTGTAAATGAATCAAAATTATACCTTTTTTTTTGGTCAGATCAGCAAAAAATACATATTTTTGGAGTGCCACAGATTTTTAGTAATTAGTTTATATGTGCCATGAGATGAAAAAGGTTGAAAACTGCTGATCTGTGTGTTTGAAACAACCTCCATTCGTTCTTCTATTTGAGTGAAGGGTGCTTTTACATAAAATGAAGGAGCCTGGGGAACCCAGGGTTCACTTAGATCATAAGAGCTGAAGACAACTGCGTTTCACAGCCCCGGAGCCAGCGCCTAGCACTGTACCGCGTCCTGGCAGGGACCCCTTCCTTAGGCGCTGTGGTCCTGGCTGCAGGGCTGCGGAAAGGGGACAGCTGCCGTCAGTCTGGAGGAAGAGCCGGCTCTCTCAATTGTACCCACATTGTCCTGAGTTCTCGTGGTGGCCCTGATGTCACCATACCACAGCCTTTAGAGTTTCATAAAATTGATTCCTATACCATCTCTTTCCTCCCACCAAGTACACAGGACTTCTCTGTTTTTTGTTTGTTTTCAGGGATTTGCCATGCAGAACCCAGAATTGCCCCAAACGGGGCCCAGGAACATGCTGTCACCATACCTTATAGCTTTTGTGAATCTACCTCTAAATTATTTTTTGTGACATAATTACAGTGTGTGCAATAATTTTTTTTTATTTGGAGTCAACAAATTTAGCCAAATCCCTCTTTGTTGCCTACTATTGAGCTAACATTGAAAAAATTTCTTAACCTCTCTGACTTTTATATTCCTATCTATAAAGTCATGATTACAGTACTGACTACACAGGCTATAGTTGAATTAAGAGGAGATTAAAAAAATGAAAACTGTGTTGTAAACTGTAACGTTTATATAAATATAAGGTGCTATTAAACTGCTACTGAAAGGCCCCCCACATCCTATAACCCAGAATGGGGTCACAGAACATTGGCCCTAATGGAAATACCTTAAATATTGTAGAATCCCATTCCATATACTCAACTTCAAGAATAATCTTTAGTAATTATTGTTTATATAGTGCATTATAGTGTGCTTTATATATACATTATCTCTTTGATACTCAACAATTATTCTGTGAGGTGGGCATTATTATTGCCACTCGCAGATGTGGAAACTGAGCCGGAGAGCAATAAAACGGCTTGCCCAAGTCACACAGCCAGTAAATGGTGGAACTGCAGCTCAGCTGAGCTTCCCAAACCCTCCTCGGCTCTTTCAACTACACCACGCTCTTCTTCAAAGTCGTCAGTAGTCGGTCACTTTATAGCGAGAATTTTCCAGAACACACAGGGCTAGTTGACTCAAGCTGTAAGAAGTAAGAAAGAAACTACTTTCTTAAATTGAGTTTTAGGCTTCTATTTCTGAAAATGTTTTGATCCTCCACATCCTGCAGTTGTCAAGATGAGAGGGATTCTTGTTTCAACTTTATCTATATTTGTGCATAAATAAAGAGAGCTTTCAATAACCACTATCTCAGGGACTATCAAAAGAAAGCTAAGGGCTTGCTTTCTCTGCCAGAATCATACATTATTCAACTGTAGAACACTCATTTTGAGCAATACTTTTATTAGAAAATATCAACACCCAAATTCTATCACTCCTTCAAATTGCTGGTTATGGATAAAAAGTTACCAAATATATTTGAATTTTCTAATCACACAAGATGGGATCTGTGATGCTCATTATTTGGGAGATAATGTGATACCCATCAGAGTTGATTAAGTCTGAACCCAGGATTTAGTGTCTACAGATTGCTGAAATCCTGTCTTGAGTTCACACAACAATCAATACAAAGACTGAACAATGCTAACATTTAGATCTATCTTGGATTGTGCAAGTTTCGTTTGTGATTTTAAAACAATGCCTTGGCATGAGAGCAAAACACCACTCTCATAACTCCCTTGGGCTAAAGAATTTTCAGCAGATGGTGCTTCTGGTCTGACTTCCCACTGTCAGCTTTTATGCCTCTAGATTACAACTCATCCTCACAAATGAAGCAGTACTTATCAGTGGCCAAGTACACGGCTACCGCACAGTCCTGTTTACGATTGTCGCCTTAGTTCAGCAAAGAGCAAAAGCAGTGGAGTACCCAAGAAGCACTAGTGTCTCAAAGCAAGGAGGAACTTGCAAACACAAAACAAAGCCAAAGGAAAGAAATCGAAGATCCCATTCTTCACCTATCAAGCACTATGTCTCGCCCTGCACACAGAAGACCAGAATACCATAAAATAGTAAGATCTTTTTATAAACTTGTTCTCAAAGATATTTTATTCTACTTCAGAGAAAATGTTTGGAGTGATTTCTGATTTATTTTGAAAGGTGATGCCATATGGAGAGTTTTTCAGTGGAGCAAGGGAGTGTTTAGTGGAGTGAATCATAAATGGGAATAGTTGCAATAATCTCTTACATACTGTTGCAGAATACTCGATTCTTATTCCAAATTTCAGGGTCTTCTTTTCTGACTGGTTATATTTACAAAAGTGTCCAATTTTTCTTGTCTCTGACAGGAAATGTGAAAAGATTAAGCAATACTTTGTATTTCATATTTGTAATTCATTGCATTTCATACTTCATGAGATAGGAAATGAAATGCATAGAAAATAGTTGATTATACATTAAATTAAATAGGAATAGATCATCAAAAAACTTGGTATTAAAAATTGCTTTTAAAAATATATTACCTAGTCTTAAGTGTAAGGGGTTATTATTGTAATTTGGTATGTGCTATTATCTCTTCTATATAGTCTCAGTTAAGAGTTATTTTTTAAATTAAATTATTTGCAGATTAGATTTGGATCTTTTTCTTTAATTCTCTCATTGTTTTAGGCGTTCAGAAGTTATATATGTGAAAGCTCATCCTTAAGTTTAAAGCTCTGTTAATTATTTCAGAAGACTGATAGGCATTGCATAAAATTAAGTAATTTCAGCCATGGGTACTTAAAATTGTATGACTAACCCAGGTACACCCCAGTTGGAAATGCCTACAGATGCCCCCTCTGGCATTCCAGGATCCTGATTTATTTTTATGTGGGGCTCTCAAATGCTAAAAAATATTGTACATAGTTCATATCATACCTAAGTCATTTGATAAAGACCCATATTTATCCTGATATATCCAAAAGTTCCTGAAATAGTTAATGGTGTTCTATTATTCATATATGAAAAATGATTATTTTAAAAATGTATAAAGTTATGTTGACCTTTCTATGATAAGTTGTATGGATTTGAGTCCCTATTGGACGAATTGTTCAAGGTACAGCCTTCGGCCATGAAGCAGAACGGAAAAAAAAACATCTTTTTAGGGTGTTGAACTTAAAACTCAACTGGAAGTAAAATATAGTTAATACCTGTCCACCTTAATGAGAGAGAGAGAGAGAGAGAGAGAGAGAGAGAGAGAGAGAGAGAGAAAGGAAGAAAAGAATGCCATTATTTGATCTTGACCTTAATTATAAATGGGCACAATGCTGAAGCTATGGCATATAAAATTATATACCCTTATAATTTTATCTTCTTTTCAAATTATTTTGTTTTATTGCTAGTGAGAGCAACCATATTATCATCCTTCTCCCTCCTCTCCTTTACCTTTGCTTATTTTTATGCTGTAGTATTGGTACATAGCAGTGATTTATTTTCTGCTGTGACTCATAGACTAAGCAGAAATTTCATGTATAAGTATTTCTTATGACTTATGACTAGATTCTTGGAAAATTTAAATAAGAACAAAATTAAAATTGAATACTTGATGACCCATGATTTGTTTAACAATATTTTTATTCAAATCTCTTGCTTTATTTACATCCTTTGTTTTCTGGTAGATATATTACTGTATTTATTACTTTTTTATATCTAAATTGTGTATATTAGTATCCTTAGTGTAATGTCAATTAAGGTATATAATGTATATTCTGCATACATTTATGACATTTTGATTTATATTTTCCAACATAAATTATGTCTATACATGATGTATAATATTTACATTCTATCCATTTAAAACTTATTTAGTGATAATAAATATTTTACTTAATTTAAAAAATTTTGTCATGATATAAACCGATATGTAAGGTAACCAATAATGGTATTGGTTCAATTTTGGAAGTATTTGGATCAAAATTATATAACATTTTATAGAAGTCCCTTTGTTGAATAAACAATTTTATTGGTTTGTTGAATTATTTTTCCCATTATTAAAAAAAAGAAATCAAGTACACATGAGTCAGGCTTTATTTTCCCCTGTACGTTAGGCTATCTATCCAAGACACCCGGGCCGAGAGGTAAGGCCGTCTCTTCTAACCTGGAGTCCACATGTGACCTTTCGTGAAAAGACAAGGTTAGGCATCAAATAAGCTTATTTTCAACAGCGGAAATCCTTCCTACCTCCTTCTCCCACCCACCTCACTCCAAACATGCCTTCTTTTGTGCATCTCCTCAGGGTGGGGTGGGACTGGGGGGACCTGCACTCTCAGGCTCCATCCTGACTCTGCCAACTGCTGGCTAGTTGGGCAAGTCACGGATTCCTCCCGAGGCCCCATTCCCTCCTCTGCAGGACTGAGAGCATTGGAATACATTTTCTCTAATCTCCCCTCTCCCTTCTTAGATAGTATTCGTGGTAGACCCAAAACAGATTTTTAAAAATGGATTGATTCATTTTGTGTTGTTTCCCAGATTTTCAACCTATCTATGCTAAACCAAACCTAAATTATCCCTCAATTATCCTCAGTTTTAGTTTTACTTTTTAATTTACTCTGGAAATAAGATATTTTGGAGATCTATAAGGAAAGTGCAAGCTCTCTTTAAAAAAAAAAATCCTCACTTGAGGATATTTTTCTATTTATCTTCAGATAGAGTGGGGGAGAGAGAGAGAGAGAGAGAAATATCGATGTGAGAGAGATGCATTGATTGGCTGCTTCCCTCACCACCCCAACCAGGGCCGGGGACCAAACTGCAACTGAGGTGCGTGCCCTTCACTGGAATGGAACCTGAGACTCTTTTTTTTTTTTTTTTTAATCCTCACCCGAGGACATTTTTCCATTTTTTGTTCAGGTAGAGTGGGAGGGAGAGAGAGGGACAGAGAGAGAGAGAGAGAGAGAAACATCGATGTGAAAGGAACACATCGAGTGGCTGCCACCCGCACAACCGACCAGGGCCGGGGACAAACCGCAACCGAGGTACGTGCCCTTAGAGGGAACTGAACCCGGGTCTCTCAGGACCGCAGGCCGACGCTCTAACCGCTGAGCCAAACCGGCCAGGGCTGAGACTCTTTATTATGCAGGTAGATGCTCTAACTGCTGAGCCAAACCCACCAGGGCCAAGTTCTCTCTCTCTTTCTCTTTCTTCTTAGTACAAAATTATAAATTTGCTAATTTGGATTCATCCTGATGGCCTTCCTGGGAGATCTGGAACCCGTTAGGGAGTAGGCGAACTCATGAGAAGTCTCACCCAGTTACTCCTTCCAACTGAAAACATGGGCAGCATCTACTCAAGGCTATTCTAGAACAACAGGAATTTATATTAGCAGTTAGTATTTCCGTAGAAACTTCCTCCATGAGAATATGTTGCAAGTTATATAATACAAGCAAATGCATAGAAGGTGTTCTCGTGTTAAAAAATTAATTGTATTTCACAGCTTCTTTCCTCCCAGCAATGTATCCAAATATGGGTACAATGGCGGGTGGAAAAGTTAACAGATGATCTGGAAAGCTGCATCCGACTAAAAGATAGAGTGGTATATCGTTTGTAACTGCCTGTGACATGAAACCATTCATTTTTCTCCAGAACAAAGATCTCTTTGTCCTCACCTATGGAGCTCTGGTTGCTCAACTGTGTAAGGATTATGAGAAAGATGAAGATGTAAATAAATATTTAGATAAAATGTAAGTAGGAGTCTTTCATTCTTGTGGCATCATGTGCTTTGTTTCTTAACACCCTCTGCATGTCGCCTACCTCCAATAACTTCTCTTGCTTCATTCCACCTGCTCTTCTTCTGTTTCAGTAAATAATATCTTAAAGCTGGACATAACTTCTGCCAGCTGCCATTTGGGTTGTCATAAAGTATAAAATAATAGGGACTTTTCCCCCATAAATATCAAGCATGGAATGTTTTCTTTTACGTTGGAAATCATTTCTTTGCTAGTCGTTTATAAGCAAAGGAGGTGGTAAGACTAAAATTTTTCTTTTAACACGATGGATCACCAAGTCTGATTCCTTTCAGAAGTCTTTTGTTCTGATAGAACTCCTTCCAATATAAATGTATGCTTACATAAGTTCAGACCATCTATGGAAAGATGTGCAAAAAGCTGCTAATGGTAGTTTCCTGAGAGAACTGGGAGATGGAGGATTATGGGTAAAAGATTTACTTTTTTCTATTTATTGTTTGAATGCTTTTACCATTATTATGCTTTACTCAAAAACAGACTAGAGAAACCCACTTCTTCCTTTTAAAATAAAGCTTATTCTACTTGTCTTTGTTACTGGAGATTCCTTCTGCACAGATTCAGCCTTTAAATTTCTCAGAACAATTATATGAACATTAGATTATCGCTCAATTATAAAATATCTGTCAACAGTTCTTTAACCTCCGAATTATGGATCCTGGCGCTAACAGGGCAATGACCGAACAATCTGTGCTGGTGAGAAGATTTAATCAGACAAGTTGAGTGGGAAATTTAGCCTAGTTGAGCTGGGCATTTTAGAGCTTTTTAAAAGGGTTCGTTGTATTTTCAGTTGGAATACAGAAAGAAAAAATAATATAAATATTAAAGTTTTTTTTTTTTTCTCAAACCCTTGGTTGTCTCCCTTTCTATGTGATTTTTGTTTGTTTTTTCCTATTGGAAAGTTCTTTTTCATTGTCCTGAATTTATTTTGATCCACATACCTTCTTTTTAAAATTTCTTCTTAATTAGTAAGGAACACTTCCTCAGCTAACCTGTCAGTAAGAGTGGGAGCTGCTTAAACATATTATATAGTATGTTAGGTCATACTTAAACATCTTATATAGCATTTCCAGAAGTCACACCATTTTATTTAGCTTATGTTAAACTTGCATTGTTGTGCGAAGCATCTGTAGAAAATGCAGAAATTCACTTAGTTGACTAAAAAAATACCCCTGGTTAGCTACTACTTGAGTGCGCATTTTAACAAATATGAGTGAAATATTAGTTAAAGAATATATTTTGAGAGGCCGCTGAAAGGACTTTCCTTAAGAAAAACAATAATTCACATTTGATATCTTTAATAGCTTCTGCTGAGAGCATCTTACATTTTTTATTTGATATGTAAGTATACAAAATATCTACTTTGCAGAAGCATACCCTTTGACCAAAGCAATATGTATTTGTATGTATGCGGCACTGACCATAGCATTCTGGTTTCCCAAGCCTGGGTGCATGCATAAAAATTAGAAAACACTGGAAACATTTTTTAAATCCTGGTATAGCTATTTCTGTAAAGTATGTATTCTGTTTCTTAAAAGTGTATTCTGTGTGGGTTTTCTAACTAGAATCACAAAACATTTTTCTTGAAAGGCAAGTAAACTAAATTGAATGTTGCCACTCACTCAGAAAAATAAATAAACTATCTCACAGATTTAGTGAATTAATGAGCACTCTGACAGCAAATCTGTCTCCTCCCAACCGCCCATTCATCATGGAGTGAATATCGCCTCTACAAACTTCAGCGTCTTTATCTTGGGTCTTCTGTTGCTCCCTTCAAATCCCTACATGTTGCTGTGAAATTAAAAGACCAGTTTTGTGGTTTGGAAAAGGCAATCTTATTCTTTTTTATTTCCATCGTTAAGGTCACATTTTCTCAACTAGATTGAAAGTTCTTAGGCTGATCTTGTTGAGGGTATCTGCTAGCCATCTTAGCCACATACTCAAATCACATCTCAATAAAATATTTTCAGAATTGTATCTCAAATACTACTCAAGCTATTTGTTGTGAGGTAGAGCTAATACAAATACTTTCTCCCAAGTCCCATAGATTTAGTTTCCCTGCGATGAAAAAGGAATTTTCTGAACTTGGCTCTTTCTTCTTTTCACTAAAATTCAGTTCTAACTGTTGACATCTACACTAACAACAAAAATTGAATTCCCTGTTCCCCTCATCCCCTCCACCCAGACCCCATCCCAGACCCCATGCCTGTCCTCTTAACCATGATAACTCTGCTAAGAGAAGGATGACCATCCAGGTACCACACCTGTAGCAGACAAGTTAGCTACACCCTCATTCTGTTTCTATCAACAGCTAATGACGAGAAAGTTAGTTGTTAATGAGAAACATTAGGCCACAAACACCAACCAACCTTCTTTACATTCTGTGTACACTGTCAAGTTTGGGCCAGCCTTGACTCCTCAAATACCTTTGCTTGTAGATTAGTTAATATTCCCTAGATGTATTGCCCCATGTTTCTTTTTCTTTCTTTCTATTTTTAGAGAGAGGGGAAGGGGGAGGGAGAGAGAGAGAAAGAGAGACAGAGACAGAGACGTTCTACTTATTTATTCATTGGTTAATTCTCATATGTGGCCTGACCAGGGATCGAACCCAAAACCTTGGCATATCAGGATGATGCTCTAACCAACTTAGCTACCTGCCCAAGGCCTTGCTCTCTGTTTCTATGGACTGTGAAACAAATACAGAGCCCACTGCCAAATAGCCATTTGACTTATCAGGTTTGGTTTAGTTTGTTATCCAGTCGCCAAGTGCTAACCAGATGAATCCATTCTCAAACACTGATAAACTTCACAAAGTCTTCAAATATTATTTCCAGACCACATTCTTTCCTTCACCCACAGGGGATATGGCATTGGAACACGGCTGGTGGAAGACTTTCTGGCTCGGTCTTGTGTGAGGCGATGCCACAGTTATTTGGAAATTACAGACATAATTGCCCAGGTAAGGGCACTTTTAGCTCTGTCAATATGTTTTGAAAATCTTCAATTCATCCTGAGTTTGGTGGTTTTCTGCTCTGACTGAACAGGTTCTATCTGTATTCGTGATTAGGTGCTAAGTGAGAGGATTCTGATCAAAAAGCATTTTATTTCAGCACAGAGATATAGCTATTGCGAACAGAGATAAATGCTTCCAGGCATTTAAACATCTATCAATTTTTCTGACCAAATGGTATGTGTCCCACACTGGGGAAAATGTTTTGAGAAGGTGAACAGAAAAGAAGTGTAAGGCACTTGTATAGCACACATGCCCCAAACCTATTTCTTGATGGAATCATTCTTCAGCACATGGAAGGAGGTAGACGCTGGCTGTCTCAGACAACATTGTTGTAGCCATTGCATTCCAGGAGCAATGTTTTCCCAAGAGAAAAAGAAAGCTTCCCATAAATGTGTGTGCTCTAAGAACTTTCGCAGCCCTGATATGTGAAAGACAAGTTAGAATCATCCGGGACTAGTTTGAATTTTCAATACAAAATGAGATTGGGACAGGAAGCAGAGAGACAGGAAGAGATTAACCAAATAATTTATATACATATATGCATAACCAATGGACATAGACAATAGTATGGTGAAGGGCTGGGATGGGGCAGGGGCGTGGGATATGGGAGGGGATGGGGAGGTTAAGGGGGGAAAATTAGGGGACATCTGTAATACTGTCAATAATTTAAAAAAAGAGAGAGATTAGGAAATGCATCCTTAGCCACAATTCCTTTAATCTACAGGCCAATGGTTATTAGCCAATGTCGTTCATTTGTGAGAGACCTAGAAAATATGCATGGATATGAGATATTTATGAGGTCCAGGAATGCTGCCTCCAGGTTCTCACAACTGACCAATTTAGTCAGTCTCTTCTTTTCTCTTGTGACCCTTGATAATGCCATCCTGACTCTTCACATTAGTGGCAATAAGAGTTCTACATAATGGCTTGTGATTCTAAATGCAGGTTTACATATTGTTGTCTTTCATCTTTTCATCATCTACTTCCTGTGAAGTAGGCAGAGTAGAAATTATTACCCCCATTTTCCAGATAAGAAAACTGAGCCCCAGAAAGAATATGGTAAAAATTAAATACTAGTATATGTTTAAAAACTGTGCATTAAGAAATAACCAAATGAAAGATTTTTCCACTTATTATTATTCTTATTTTCATGATTTCATGGCTAGTGAATCATGTGGTTGAAATTAAAATCTAGGTTTTCTAGTCCTAGTATAGTGAATTTACCACACAACTAAACAAGTTAAATTTTTTTCTCTTTTCATATTGCAGGCTATAACTAAGATCCTGAAACAGTAGTTTAAAAAATGAAATAATTTTCACTAAATCAATTCTATGGGCAATACTACAAGAATATTAGCTATTTTAACAAAAAGTAAATATTCAAAATGCAGAAATATAGATGCTTGTGTCCTATTTCTGTAAAAAATGCCATTGGGATTTTGATGGGAATGGTATTGACTCTATAGATCGCTTTGGGTAGTATGGATATTTCAACAATGTTAAGTTACCCAATCCATGAACACAGAATACTGTCTTTCAGCAATGTTTTATAGTTTTCAGTATATAAGTCTTTCACTTCCTTAGTTAAGTTTATTCCTAGGTATTTTATCCCTTTTTGTGCCATTATTGTAAATTAGATTGTTTTCTTAATATCTTTTTTTAGATAGTTTGTTGTTAGTATGTAGAAACACAATGGATCTTTGTTGATATTGTATCCTGCAACTTTTCTGAAATCATTTCCTCATTTTAACAGTTTTTTGGTGGAGTCTTTAGGATTTTCTACATATAAGATCATAGCATCTGCAAAAAGATACACTTTTATATTTTTCTTTGTAGTATGGATGCCTTTTATTTCTTTTTCTTACCTAATTGCTCTGTCGAGGACTTCTGGTACTATGTTGAGAAGAAGTGAAGCTTTCAGTTTTTCACCATTGAATATGGCAATCGGGAAAGGATGGATAATCCCTTTGACAAATAGCTCTGGAAAAACTGGATACCCACATACAAAGAATGGACTTGGACGTGTATCTTATAGTACACACAAAAATCAACGCAAAATGGGTTCAAACTTCCACTCTTATGCAAGATTTCTTCTTATCAATGAAGAGAATATTTTGCCACCTCCACCCTTCTTTTGTGCAGAGGGGTTGTCTCCTGGTCTGCACTTTCCTTCAAAGGCCTGGTTTCCTCCCTCTTAATACTTTTCATTTCTCTAGCAAAATGTTCTTTTACATGTGGGAATGATGTCACCCAATTCAGGAGCATTTTAACACAGATGAAGGGTCAGGTTTTAGCTATGTACTCACCAAGAAGCTTTGCTTATAATTAGCAGCTTTCATTAAAAGCTCTGGTCTTGGCAGCATTATCTCATCCATCCTGTAGACTCTCTTCAGAGGAGGCAGGTGTCAAATGTTAGTCAGTTTTATAGAGAAGTGGGCAAGATCAGAGGAGGTTTGCTGAGGTCACATGTTGCCTCTGGAGCCTAGCAGGGTCAGGAATAGAACCCAGTGGTTGTAACTTTTGTTTGGCCACCCTCCCAGGCCACACACTTAGACCGCACACTCCCATCATCCTTGTTGATTACTTCTCACCTACATACCGTGGCTTCTGCAGAACTCGTGATCTCTGTTCTTGTTCCAGAGAAGGAAAGAGAGGGAAGTAGAGAAAGAAGAAGAAACCCATGTCCCGATGGGTGAAATGAATCATCTGAGAGCTAGTGAAAACTACATGTAGGAACAGGTCTTCTGTTTCCTGGGGGAATCATTTTTATTTATAAAGTGCTCCATTTAAGATTAGAGTTGAGTCCAGCTGGTGTGGCTCAGTGGTTGAGCATCCACCCATGCATCAAGAGGTCGCCAGTTCGATTCCCAGCAAGGACACATGCCCAGATTGTGGGCCTGACCCCCAGTGCGAGGTATGTGGGAGGCGGCCAGTCGATGTTCTCTCTCATCGATGTTTCTATCTCTCTCTCCCTTTCACTTCCTCTCTCTCTAAAAATCAATAAAGGAAAAAAAAATAAAAAAATAAAAAAATAAAAAGATTAGAGTTGAGTCTACACAGAAGGATTCCAGTGAATCGTACTGGTCATATTTCTGTTGTACTAATTCTGATCTGAATACACAAAACTGCCGTGGCTGAATCTATACAAGTTATTCAAATACTTTGAAGTCTAAGACCCCCTGAGTTACTCGAGAGTGTTGGCGGCTCCATGGCCATGGAATCGCAGTCTTTGTACAGGTTTGTACTCAGAAGCAGAGATTTAATATCTTAATAGGGACATTCCAACCTGCCTTGATTAGACCTTTTCAGGGGGGTGTGCCTGCCTTGGAAGGAGAGTCAGTGAGGACCCAGTGAGTAGACAGAAACCACACAATCAGTTCAATAAGCAAGGTTTAATATAAAAAATTATTAACTATTTACTGATGATGAGCTACTGAGAAAGAAAAAAAATGCTGAAGAAGACCCTAGCACTGGGAGAGAATACTCAAAGAAGGAACACATTTTAAAGAGGCTTCCACATCCAAAGATGGGGTTCAAATGACTTTGGAGAAGGTACGATTGTAGCCCATGGAAGCTGGAAAAGGCCTCTGGGTTCCCACGGAGACTGGTGGGCAGGGAATTCTGTGTCAGAACTGGTAAGCAGGAAGCCCCCTGGAGTGTGAGGCAGGCAGTGAGAAGTCCACGGGCGGGAGCTAGCAAGCTGGGCAGTGAGTGCCACACGGTGCTTTACGCCAGTCATTTCCAGCAGGAGTGATCCAGAAAAGGCACACTAGAGCCCGGAAAGGAAGTCCTTTCCTTTTGCTCTATCCCTACAGAATCTTCTACTGGCAAAGGGGAAATATTTGCAAGATCGAACTCTAACATTAGAAGCAAGGCAATGTTCGGAGTTGAGAGGCAATACTCAGAGGCCTGAGCCACTGTGATTTTCGTTTACATTTCTGTTGTTTATTTTGGTGGCCTCATGTTTGACCCTATCCAAACTGCTCGTCCACACAGACACAAATCTCACCTCTCAGGCAACTCTTGCAGGCCGCTAGAAGGAAGACATGGCAAAAAGGAAGCTGATTTTTTTTTCTTACCAGAGTGGTGTCAGCTGCCTACAACTTTTAGATGCGAAAGAACACAATTTTCAATGTGCAAACTTTTCTTCTGAAATTGGCTTTCTGGTAAACGCTGAAATGTATTAAATGTAGCCACTGCCTCTTTTTCCATTAATGTCTCTATTATCAAATCTACGTTCTCTGTCTCTCATGACTATAAACTCTACTCTCTCTCTATTTTATTACAATTAGAATATTTAATGACTCTGTGGCCAAGAATCTCAGAGTACAGTTAGCTGGCTAATACCTTGTGCTCAAAGTGAGATGCAAAGTAAATGGCAGATTGGCACTGAAGCTACCACCTAGTATTGAGAGTTGGAGCTTAGTCTTATAGCCTGTGTAATGGTCTTTCAGGCTTCAAATCGACGAGGTCCTCTTTCTGAAATGTTCATAGGTCTTAATGTGAAACGTAGTTTTCATCACAGGAGACAGGAATTGCAGTGTCAAGATGCATAAGTGAACATGACAGAGCAACCTGGGAAAGGTAAGGGAGCTCATGATTAACCTTCCTTAGAACATCTTTATTATGGAAATAGAGCAACATAAGTCTGCATTTTGGTTTAATGTCTTAATCAGTCTGTAAAGTACAATCTTATTGTGTTTTGTGCCTGTTAATCTTCCAAAAATTTGCTGGTGACCAGCTTCTTTTGTATATATTTCTATTCCCCATCTAACTAGAGAAAAAAATGTTTTTACAAAGAATGGAATAATATAGAGTTTTATTGAGTCATGGTAATACACACAAACTTTGTTTCATTTGATACTTTACTGTATTACCCATTAAAGTGATCTTTCATTTCTGGAAATGTCATTGCCCCAACCCATCTGTAAGCTTTTCAAAGGAAA